TGGATGATTTCCAACCATATCCAGAATTGAGAATCTAATAACCTATCAACTACTATCTTCAATGCGAGAAACCACCATGGCCAATCTAGTGGGAGCTGAACTGATCTCTCATTAGGATGAACAGGATTTTTGTCATTGTTCTGTAAAGCTATTCCAACCTAGCAACAGTAGCAACAAAAATATTGGTGGGTCAAGCATAGATAGGTCAACTGTGTATTGACTGAACCAAACATACAGGGTGGCAACTTTCATAGTTCACAGGACTTTGTATTGTGTGTTTTTCTAGTTTCTAGAAACCTTTAGATCTTTTCTGAAGGCCTAGAAGGCCTTTAGGGTTCTCCACTGGTTGTAAGAATTATTAAGTACTTAGGCCTAGTACTTTCAAAGTGGGCTATTTTCCATGTTTCCACATATTGTCCAGTTTTTTGTTTGTACTTTAGTTCACATCATTCTAAACATCCCACTAAAGCCAAGCCTCATCACCTCTAGTTCCTACGCTGTTGTTTTGTCACATGATGTAGACAATTAATGTAATGTAGATACACATCTTGTCAACAGGTTGAATCCATCCTAGGAGCCGCTCTATTCCAGTAGCTAAATGAGGCTGTACATGTTGTTTCAGGAGTAGGTAATATCCAGCCTTGCCCTCCTCTGAGGAGACAAATTAGTCTCTAGGGAAATCAGACATGGAGTACACACAAGCATAACTCGGCCATGGGCCAGTCCCAGAAGAACCGTCTGCCCATTCGATCAGTACACAGACCGTCCCCCTGATCTCTTGAGAAATCTGTGTCCAACATTTTCTCACAAGCATACAGTGATGCATATAAATCCAGCAGAAATGACACTGGCTGTTTATTTCTGGCTTTGGGAGAGCGCTCCGAGCCAGAGCTGGTTTCTGAGGACTTCTTCATTCGTGCTTTCACTGGGCAGAAGTTATCTAAATGTGCTGATCTGGAACTCTCCTTTACAACCCTTCCCAAACCCTGCTCTTAAGCCTTAAAACAGACACTAAAATCAACAAGCTTCATTCAAAAATCATCCTCCTGAGTTTTAATCTGAGGCTTGCCAATGCTCTGCCCACATATGCGGTTTTGTAGCAACTATTGCTAGAAAATGTTGCTTTCCAGAATGTTGTCACGTATCTAATTTAACCAAATGCGAAACTATTTAAAATTTAAAGAACTTCCTTGATCGATTAATGTTAACAAATAGTTATTGATTAACCATTGACAAACATTGAACAAGCAAGGCCTATAACAGAAAATAGAAAAATGTAAATTTGTTCCTTAAACAAAGCCATATGTCTAACTGGCATGCTCTCAGTGCTCAAGATATATGATTTCACAGCCAGTTTCACTGCATGGTCAACACAGTCCAGTACTCGGCTGTGAGAATTATGATACTGACCGAAACTAGCTGTGCTTTCTTCCCCTGTCTGAAGTGTGCCTAGAAGAAGTTATTGAACTCCTGAAATCCCTCACTGTTGACGGTGTTTACTAGCATCATGTCATTTTGTACGTTCTTGCCTTCTGAAGAGACCAGCACAGACCTTAGCTGGTCTATACTGGTTTATGCTGGTTTAGTGCTGGTCTGGTGCTGGTTCAGCTGGTCACCCGGTCACCCAGCATGGTCATACTGGTCGAGCAGGAATACAGTATTAAAAACCCAACATATGCTGGTTCTGCTGGTGTCTATGCTGGCTTTTCTACCAGGGTTTTTGCAGTTACCAAATTTATGGTTGGCTGTGATGCGTCACCCCTGGCAACATGACTAGGTGCTTTTTTTTTTTTTGATGGTACGTTAATGGACTCCTGGTGGGATTAAATTTCAGCCTTAGTGTTCCGCCAGTGCACAGTGTTGACTTCCTCTGTAAAATGCTCACATGACTCTGCTTCTCTGCTTCAGTGCTTCCTGTTTCACCGCTTAGTTGCATTGCATCATCAGCAATTACTTGACTAAATTCTTAACGGTAGTTAATCAACCAGCAATTAATCATTAACATCCTTAGAAGCTACTCAAGATTCCTCCATGTAGAGCGCATTAATTAAAAATCATATTCATTTTGTGTGTGTATCATCATCATGGTGACAAACATCAGTGTTGATTCCAGTCTTCTTGTTTCAGTTAGTTACAGCAACATAGTCCAACTTAGTAGCACAGCATTTAAACTGGAAACTCAGTGTTACGTGGTGAATGTAAAACGTGGAGTTCTGCGCTACTTCTCATTATGTTGAATTGAATTTTTGCCTACAGTCCAATTTCACAACAGATGCTATGAAAGAATGCATTTTTGGCCAGAGTGTGGATGTGTCAGTTTCTGATGAAGACGTTTCAGTAGCGTATGTGGGATAACATGGCAATAAATTTCAATCTGTCAGATCTCTGGCCCAGAGAAAAAAGCAGCGTCTGAATCACATGGCATCATGGGATTTTCCTGAAAATCAAGTCTCAACCCCCTGTTGAGGTCATGCTTCAGACGTAATCAGAGTCATTTTTAGTTTTTATTTATGATTCTGTAAACTTGTGTGACACGAAAAAAAAACAGACCAAAATGTGCTCAGCGTTGCTCTCTCTGTCATGAGATTATGGTCTATATAAACACTATCATGCTCATGCAGAGCATAAGATTTATATCCCTTATTAAAAAGATTTATAGGACTTTCTACAGGACTCACACAAGTACTGTAGATTACTGTGCTACAGGAATTATGGGGGAAAAAATATAGATTGTTAGAAGTTTTGTTCAGCACTATAGTTTTACAAATCTTATATTTTCTTAAAGTAATACTTTAAAACGTTCTGTAAGAGACATTACTTAATTTAGTTTAATATAATTCTTATATATCACTTTTTTGTAAACATATTTTTTAGCTTGATTGTGTAGGTTAAAAATCACTTGTTTGTTATAAGTAGTGGATTATGGTAGATAGAGGACAGAGGTTGGCAAGGACAAGCATTATCACAAGCATTACTAGGTAATTCATAAACAAAAAATCAATAAATCAATGCATAATTTGAAAATTACGATTAAATGAAAAAAAGGAACACAATGATTATATAAAGACATTTTAAAAACAGCTCTATAAGTCTTACACACAAAAAAATATTCTTTTGCTTGTCAACCATGCACCTATTTTATTCACATTCTGTATTACGTGCTCTTTTTATAGTTTCTTATTTTGACTTTGGCTCACAATTTATGAATGATCTCTGGAGAATTGTCCAGCATCTAAGAACAGAGAAATCTCTGGGGAAAAACTGTTAATGTAACAGCAGCGCTCTCTACTGGTGTTTGTGTGAGTCTGGGTGAACAACCTTTATATTTCAGCAATGGCTTCATATTATTGAAAAAAAGAACAACCAAATTAAATTAATTTACACTCAATATGATGTAAAATTCTAGAATAATTATGAGAAAAACACTATTAAACATTATTAACATTATTCAACTTATTGCATTACTTCTACCTGAAACTGGCATTAATTTCAAAACATCTCACTGGTATATTGCACCTAAAAAGACATGCAAAGACACTGACAAATGCTGGATGAATCAAATTTACATGAGAATGAAGTCATTTGTACTGACTGAATTGGACACCGAACAGCAGTCCTTCATCTCATCTGAGTAACAAAGCTTCCCTATGAAGAATAAACACCACTAGAAGCCTCCTTTTCCATGGTTAGACCTGCATGTTACACCTACAAAATATGGCTGTGATATGTGGATTGCAGGACTGTAGGAGGGCAGAGAACTACAAGAACTTGTGCTGGAGTTCTGGGCTTTAGTGTTAAGATAAGAAGGCCAGACCCCCTTTGAAGAAAAGAGACCGAACTAAGAGAAGAGCCTGAAGATGAGAGGAGATGGGGGATGTTCTATTCCTTTACTTCCTTTGAGATGGGAATGTTAGATGCGAGGAAAGAGGACTTTGAGTTTCTACTCTATTGGTCTATTTCATAACTCTAATTAATCAAACTTACTAAACTAATATTAACACGTTGATGTGGGTTTAAGTAGATTGTTTTGTTTATTCAGGTTCTGTTACCAATCACAGCATCTGTGAACGTCTACAAGCAGATACCTATCTGAAGCACCCATCAGGTCTCCACAGTTAGCCCTGATTCTAAATCTGATCAACAGTGGTGTTCAGCAGAGGAGCACCTAGACTTGCACTACTAGAGAACCAATCAGCAGACTCCCTGGTCCTTTTTGTCCAGTGTCAGTTTCATAATACATCCACATGGAAGAAAATTAAATAAGTATATTTATTGCAAATTGCAGAAACCATGCAGAGGTACATGGTAAACAGGTGGACAGCCTTTTAGAACTGATTAGTCTAATAAGCAAGTCATACTATATTCAAAAGGTCCATATGCTACATTTATTTTTCATTATTTTTATCCTGCAGGTTCATCTTTGATGTTTATCTGGGTTTGTGTAGCAAACATTTTTACTTGAACATTTTCCAACTTATCTTGATCACTTTGAATTAAACAGGCTGTTTATATTACTGTGCCCTTTTAACTGATAAATCTGTGTTCTGATTGGCTGCCCTTTTGCCTTATTCAAAAAGCAATCCAAGCTAAAACACTTTTTATAACTTCAATGTGAATGGGCAGGGCTAAACTGCTGTATGCTGAATAGGTGAAATCAGAACTTCATTGGTTTGCATGAAACCCACAAAAACATGTTCATTTGCATCAGAATTTGAACATATGGACCACAGAATTCACCAGTTGTTTAAACGTTAATCATGTTTACATACTACTTAAATCTCCTTCATTCAAAAAAGGATGGAAAATTCCATCAAATGAACGCTTTAAGCTAAGACAATACTTGGTGCAAATTATTTTCTGGAATTTTTGTAAAAACCTTTGACATAAAGAGGAACCACTGTAGCATTATTGTAGATACATGTGTTTATCTTAAAACACTCAAGCCCTCTTGCATAATCTTTATTTACTGCAAAGATATGTAACTTCATCATCAGAAAAAGTAAATATTCCAAGGGACATTAATTTCCATCCATTTCTAGAGTGTCTATATATTACTCTGAATATTATATATTCTCTGCCTTGAGCTCAACAAGTGCAGTTCATGAGGCTTAAAGCATAAACTGTGAAATAAAGAGAAGAGTTTCAGCTTCAACCGTTTAAAGTTAATAAACTGAAATATGCAAATGACACTGAGAAATGCAATGCAAAACAATGCAGCTTCAGATGACAGGAGAGGTAACAGTAGAACAGAAGTGATAACTGATACAGGGCAGCAGCGAAAAGCAAATCAACACTGTGAAAGGGCATCTTTGGTGAAGAGAATTAGACGAGAAAACAAAAAGAATGTAAAGTGAGCTGTGTATCAGCAATACTCTTTGGGGAACACAGGTTATTGTGTCTTCAGTCTTCTATCAGTGAGTTAGGCAATAACTAGGAGATACTGTCAAAAGTGGAATATTTGGAGTTCTCAGAGCTCGAGCAAATTAGCTGCTTTGTGGCACATACATATTCAAATCAAATGCGTTCATAAACGCCAGTGGCCCAGCATGCAGCAATGTATTTTTAAGTGCTCCTCACAACCTTCCACTATGGCTGTTGCTAGAGATAATCTTTTGGCTCATTTACTGAAGTATAAAATTGAGATGAAAAAAAAAAACTGGACATATTCAAGAGTGAAAGCTATTACGTAGTCAGCAGGTGTCCGAACAGGATAATTGCCAAATTGTGCTGGACACCGCCCTCCAGGACTGCAATTGACCTATCCATGCTACTTTGGTAGCAATTGTTGCAAGATTGCTTTATATAACGTTGGCAAAAATCCCATTCAACTTCAACAAATTCAACAAAATTTTAATGCACATCGCAGTTTTGTAAATTAATATTAGAAGGTGTAATAATTTCAAATGGTAATTAGTTTGTGTATTAATTAGTATTTGAAATTAATTACACCCTGTAAGCTCAGACTGTTGGAACAGAGAGGTTGTAGTTCTTTGTCATGCAATCAAACTATCCTGCCTATTTTTGATTATCTAGAACAGGGGTGTCCAATCATATCCAAAATGGGTCGGTGTGGCTGGAGGTTTTCATTCCAACAAAGCCTAAGTGCTCATGATCAATTGTTTGAGATGAATTGATCAAATGAGCAGAATCAGTTGCACTCCTGCTTTTTTGGAATTAAAAACCTGCAGCCAGCAGCCCTTTGTGGATATGACTGAGCAGTCCTGATCTACAACAATATAGTCCAGCTCGGTAGCATAGCAACCTAGCATAACTCAATGTAGCAACAATGTGCACTACATTCTAATTAGTGAGAGTGAGACTTTCGCCTGCGCTCTACAAAGCTTGTCCAAGCAGCAACAACAGCAACGAAAGAATGCATTTGTAGACAAAGCATGCATATGATCGGACACCCTTGTGCTATACTTCTGCGACAGGGAGGACAGACTGAACTCCTTTTCTGCATATTTCAGAGGATTCCAGAGACAGTGCTCTGAGGTAAGAAGTACGAACCCTTGAAAGGTCAGATCAGTAATTGAAAAGCTGCTCATCATCGCCACCTGGTGGATGCAGAGGCACTGGCTCCCAGCCGGTTCATGGTTTTGCTCATGTGTGGGAAGTGCACAGTAGGAGTCCTTGGTGTGGGACCATAAAGGCCTAAGTTTCTGGCGGCAGCAGACTTGCGGGGCGCTTTGACACAAGGAAAGGGGGAGAAGATCTGCTGCGATTTTGAAGGGCTTCGCCTGAGAGAACTGCCACCACTCTCTGAGCTGGAGGAATCAGAGGCCGTGCGCCGAGTGGAGCAAAACTGCTGCAGCTGCAGGTTTGACTCTGGCTGCAGGTCTGAGTCTGGATGAACCTCTGACTCTGGATGCTTTGCCAATTCTGGCTGTAGGGCAACTGAAGCTGGTCCTTCATCACTAACAGCTGGTGAAGAAGCTTGAGGGGATGGTTCTAGCTCTAGAGTAGATAGCCGCTGTTCCATCTCCTCCATTTCTTCTACCTTTTCACAATCTTGGAGCTCCGAGCCTCCATCTGCCACAATCTCCTTCACAGGATCCTCTCCTTTGCCATCTACCTTCTCCACCTTCTCTTCATCTTGCTGTTTCTCCTCCTCTCCTCCTGCCACCTCTGGTGGGTCTTCAGTGCTCTCACTGTCCTCCAATGTTAAAGAGTCATCAAAGCCCAGCTGGGCCCGTGCCCTGGCTAGATTCCTTCGATGGGTGCGGACATGGGTGCGCCAGGGGGACTGAAGCCTCGCCCGAGCTCCATGGTCCTGGTTTGGGGTAGACTGAGCTTGGGGCAGCAGGCCAGCGTGAACTACACCGTTTCTGGAAGGGCGCTGGGCAGCTCTAGGCTTCCTCCCCAAGAGGAGATGGTTGACCACAGGCGAAGTGTGGACCTGGGAAGCCAGCACACTGGTGGCTGGACATTTGTCTAGAACCAATCAAAATATGCCACAGTCAGTCATTATGCCCCAAGAACTATAATACAGTGCAACTAAATTGGCCAAATCATTGAACATGATAGAACTCAAGAACAGAGATTTCTGCTGCATGGACAGAAACATGATCAACCACTCCATAAGCAACAGAAGTAGTACCAAACTGTCGCTTTCATAAGAAAACCTCATAATCTGAGGTTATAAATGCTAAGTCTATATTTTTTCACTGTTTGAAAATGCCAAAAGAAGCTGCACTTTACATTTCATGACAAATGGAGAGATGGTCCAAAATTACTGAAATTTTCTGTTAATGAAGTTACAGTAACAAATGCTAAATTGAGAACAGGCCTATGAAGGCCTATTACTATTTCAGAGGGTTTCTTACGACAGCAACAAAACCACTTCTCAGTTCTGAAATCTTCTCTTAGAAAGGAATAATATTAGAAGTAAACACGATGTAAAGCCTCAATGCACTGAAATCAAGAATGCAAGTTTGCAGTTATTTAAACTATGTCCCATCACCCTCAGCACAGTATTCCAGACCACCAAGATAATTAGTTAATTATTATAAGCAGCCCAACACCCGAAATGATTCCAGTAAAAAACTACGAGTGGTCAGTACCAGGATCATGGCTTGCCCGTTCACTGGGCTGATGAGGAGTAACAGGCTCAGCTTCCACTGGCAGTCCTGAGGAGAGCATGTGACAATGTGGGCCTAAAATGGGGTTCTCAAACATTTGCGACCAACTTACTTTTAATCATTACCACATTTGTGTTTGTAAGTAGAAGAGATATTTTATTATCTCAACTTGCTGAGATGTTACTTAGCATAGGGGAAAAAAACATCCTTTTTTGCCATGGTTTAAAGTTTTTTTTAATAATTAAAATGTGCAGACTCTAACCTATAGATAGAGAATGTAAATTGAATTTAATTTATTAGTAACTAATTATGCAATTATATAATAACATTTAAATAATTATGTAAATCAAATGTTCAGTGCTTTGCAAAACACTGTCTGGATTACAAATAGAACTTACTAGGGGTAAAGATTCACAAAATTAATTATTCTTTATTCATTTTGATAAGGTACACCGGTGCTTCAACTCATTTTTAGACACGGCAAAAATAAGGATGGGCTGAAAAATGAGCCTTGTATATAAATATGTTAATGTTTCCATTGTCAGTTTATTAGAGCATTCAGCATTATAAAAGTTCAGTAGCTGTGCTTTATAGTGTCCCGAACTAACGCTGTAGCCACAAGCTAATACGCTAGTCACGATACAACGATATGATGCGATACATGACATGCTCTGATACAATATGACACACTGTATTGTTACAGCCCTAGTTTTTACCATTTATTTTTAAACTCATATGCAGTAACACTGAATGTACAAAGCCAAATTATATGTCAGTAGATATTACAAAGAAACAAAACTTTCACACGGCATGACAAAACAACAACAATAATAACGGTAGACTTGTTTAACCAAACATCGACACAGGCTCTACTCTGAGATGCTGTATGAACACAGAGTCTTGTTCCTATGTTGCTTCAGTGTGAGATCCGGCTAAATCCTACCTGTGTGGATGTACAGCAGCCCAGCCTGCTGCTGCTGCCGTCTCTTGATGCGCAAGTACTGCTTGGTCAGTGCCCTGATGTCCGTGCTCATACGCTCCAGCATCATGCTGTTCATGGTGGCCTGATGCTCGGCCCGGCCGGCCCCCACTGCGCCTGGGCTTAGCTCCGCCATGTTACTGGAGGGAGAGCTCTGCTCACCTCTCTGCTCTGCAGGGATGAGATGGAACAAAAGGGCTTGTCAGTCACATCAGAAAAAGGCTAACTTACTGGTATCAAGTTTGTAAATCTCTGATCTAGCGGTCCCTGAGGACCATCTTAAGAACCACTGCTTTAGGAAATGATCATTAAACCTAACCATTAAACCAAAATAATGTTTGGGGGAAAAAACTGAATACACAAATATGTTTACACAGTAGTGGAATACAGACAATAGAACAATAGACCAAGCTTTTTTGTTCTTGTTTTTTTTTTGCATTTTATAAGTTTGTTTCGTTAATATTTGTTGAAAATGTGTTGAAACCAAACAAACTTAAAGAAAAAAAGATATTTAATTTGCCTGAGCACAGTAAGAACAATAACCTTTTATTGTTTATGCTCATTAGTCATTACTATTTGTATTCACCAAAATGCTCTCACTCCATTTATTATGTTATTCTGTTTATAATTTTTGCTTCATTCAACTTCTATATCTGTTTATAAGAACGCATCAATATGGGAAACTGTGGGCTGATGCCAATATCCAAAATTTTTCATCTACATATCTGTCAATGCTGATGCATATACATTTGTAAAATGTAGAAATTGGGGCTAAATTCACCTGGATGAACATTACAGAAAAACAGAATTTTGTTCTGAACACATACATTATTGAATAATATAACACATTTTATTATGTTAGAATTCATTAAAAACAAAATGGATGAAGTTGAATCGCTACCTTCACAGTGATGCATGACAATGCACTGATGCATTTTCAGACCTCTACTTAATACAGTACATATTTTGGTAACACGCTGGATTGAATTTTCATGGTGTGGTTTTAAACCTTCACACTTCTTTTCTTGTTCTGCCTGTTATGTTTTTCTGTGCTCTCTTTAATGCCTGATATCAAGAGCCTAAAGCTAAAACACTCTCTGTAACAACACAGCCTGAAAAAGAGAGGAATTCATGTAATCTGCAGCACTGGAAATAAAACAAACACATACTTTCAGACATCAGTGCACCAGGCTATGCAGACGGGTTCTATTCACAGTGAAGACAAATTGAACTACAAATACATGCAAAAATACACATGAAATAATCTTTATAATTCACAAAATCTTTAACGAGTGAGAGTAATCATAAGTTTAGCCAGCTTTCATAGATCACTTCACTACTACTGTCTGCACATCAGAGAACGCAGTGCTAATTGTCCTGTGATAAATAACTTTTTTTAGATAAAATTTTTTACCCACTGCTTCCTGTCCTGCAGGAAGTGGGAGCGAGAGCAGGAAAAGGGAGGGACACTGAGCACAGTGAGCTGCCAAAGAACGCTCAATGTCCAACCCACTGTTCATTATTATTACCAAAATACTGAAGACTGCCACAGTTTTACCTTTTAAGTGCTTTTGGTATCTCTGGATCTCAGGAGCTAGGAGCCCACCCAGTGGTCCCAGGCAGCCCAGAGCAGTGACGATAGAATCTTCATCATCCATATCACCATCATCATCACTCTCCCACCCATGGAGCCCCTGACTACAATCAGAAACGTCAAAAACAAAACCAAGTTCAATATGAAATTAACAGACAAACAAAAAACAATTCTGCGCTGATAATAAATAGGTCAACAAAAATTGGTTTGAAATGTCAGTCTAAACATCCATCAAATGCCAATAATTTAGTTTTAAGCAGTTATCTGGTGACACCGATATGATTCCAAGATCATTGTGCTCCTCTACTGCTTACAGGAATTTATCTACCTGCCTAAAATCATAGCCTATTTCACAGCTTATTTAATATAAGAGCCTTCAACTCATTCCTGCAAGAGCTTTAATTGGGCCGGATATTTTATCTTAATTTTCTGTCTAAACCCCACCCACCAAGTTTTGAGTCTAAAACTGATCTAATTACCGAAACATTCAGTCACTGTGTAGTGACATTAGCAGTGTCATTTGATCACATATAAATACAATGTAAAAATATAAAATAACATTGTTTTAATAAAACTGCTTTAAGGTAAACGGTAACAGTCATTAAAGTAATGAAAGTAGGGAGGATGAATAAATTAAGGAGAAAAACTAACACAGGGAAAATGCAGGACTGACTTTGAAATCTAAAATCCTGAAACTGAAAAGTGGGAGGTGAGCTTTATGAAACCAAACGTGACATTTGATCCTGACCCAAGCCGGACACATACTTTAGAAAATGACATTTGAACCTGACATGAGCAGTCAAGTCACAATTCAGACAAATACAATCTGTTTCTGTGACCACCTCATAGCTGCAATGTTACTGACAAGGACAAATGGCTTTGAGTGTTCTATTGTTTTTATACAACACTTTTGCAAAATAAAGAAGAAAGTAAAGCAAAGGAGCCCTGAACATTGCATCAAATATTGTTTTAATATTGTCAATTCCTTCCGCCAAAAAAAGTAGCCTTTTCCATTACTAACAGGGTCGTAAAGCTGTCATAATAACAGGCTCAGCTCAGCTTTTTCAATATTTGCCAGATTAAGCTGAACCTCATTATGCTGTAGCCAAACTGTAAAGCATTTTCCAGCTCATCTTGTTTGTTTGAAAAGCTTGTTAAGGGGCAACGACAGGTTCCCATTCTTCTGTAGTATCTAATCAAATGGGCTGTGTGTCATTTCCTCTCTAAAAGAAGTTATATAATGTATTTGTATGTGCTAAAGTAGAAACTTAGTAATCTGCAGTAAAGAGAATCCTTACTACAGAGGGTGCTCAGCAGAATGATACGGTTACTGCAAAAAAAACAGGCTGTTATTTGAGGGTAGAATGCTTCTCGACCAATCAAACTTCGTTGCTGGGAAAAACTATTGTTTAAAGGTGGAAAAGAATGAGTACAGTATGATATTCCAGACATCACCTTTCTCACTTTTCCATCTCTATACATACTACAGAGTCAATAAACAGCTATTCAAATGCATTTGGAGAACCCCTTTACCACACTGTTAGAAAGCAATTGAGCTTATCTTTACACTGAGGTGGAACTCTGTCAGTTAAAATGTTATTTGCATGTCATATTTTGCATGGCCATAGTGTACTCAGACAGACACAGACCCAGGCACACATATTACAGAAGGAAACACTCAGAAATGCTTTATTGCTAGCTTGCTGATAAAGTGAACACTATTCACACAGCAATGTAGTGTAATCTAAGCCTGCTTTCTCAGGTTACACACCTGCCGTTGGCCTTGACTGGAGCAGGGAATGGAGTGATGTTATAAGTGTACTTCTCCCTCAGCTCTGCCAGCTGGGGGAAAGGGAAGTCAGCCATGGAGTAGACGGTCTGCAAATATACAAACAAATGCATTTCAAATATGTAAGAAAATAGACTATTCATTGTATGGTTTAATTGCAAATCCACTTTTATTCCACCATATCTACTTTTTATACAAGATGTGCTTTTTTTCTAGTAGGGACTCTGCAGGGGACAGTTGGGTAGTAATGGTTTTAATTAGGAGGTGGGCGATCTGACAAGAATATAATATTATGATACTTGAAAGTTTAGTCACAATACATGATATGATCAATGTACTGATCATTTTTTTCTGAGGTTTGATAAGTTGGAACAAAAGAGAACTGTTAAAAAAATGTGCAACGTTAAAAAAATGACTATTAAATACTATAAGTGTAAGTACAGATGATACCCAAATACACTTAGAAAAGCATATTGTAATGTAAATTATCATAACAATAAGTATCATCATACTGCCCACCGCTAGTATTAACAATATACCATGATATAAAAACCAACGATAATTGTACTGGTAAAATTTTAATGATACTGACAACAGTGTATGATTACTGTCAGAGTAGGAGTAAAAAAGCAACAGCTACAGTCTCCATGGAAAGCACGCAACAGGACAATGCATGTTTGCAGTTATAACCTGAACAGTAAACATTTATAGTGCTGGTGATAATTTCATATTTATTTATATTGTATTTTTTAATGTTAGAAAGAAATACAAGAGGTTCAAAATGTAACATTTTCAGTGAAATGATTTCAATGTGTATTAAACTGGCAGTATACTTTAAACGACAACAGAACTAAAAGCCAAATTACTTGCGAACACACTGTTGCATGTATACTTAAAAAGAACTTGGGGTACATCTTTGTGATTCTAAGCACTACTAGAGGCCTGCTCTGCACGCAACAATACAACATCATGAGGACCAACTGCAGTCAATAGGAGAACTCCGAACAAACAACACAGTGATTAGGAGTTCTGTCTAGCAGTCTGCACAAAGTGCACTGACATAAACAAAACACACAATGCATATATGTAGTAGCTAGACTACCACATGGTCTTAGAGGTTCTCTGACCTGCATGAGTTCATTGGAGTCGACCAGGTTGTGCTCCAGCATCTCTTGAGTCAGAATGCCCATAGTGCTGTAAAACTCATCTGCTGTCTGACACTCCTCTATCCTCCTGAGAGAGAGAGAAAGAGAGAGAGAGAGAGAGAGGAGAGAGAGAGAGACACAGAGAGAGAAGACGAAAGAGGAAGCGGGTGGTACTTATACCTGATTTCAGCAGGCAGAAGTTTTGATCACAATTATGGTCTTAACAGGCTCATGGTAAGAATTCTTTTTTAGAAAATCACTCTTTAACTTACTCTCCCAGTTTGGCCCAAATAGCTAAGGCCACTCTCAGCAGCACCTCTGAACCCTCAAAGAAGACAGAGTCCCAGATCTTTAGCACAGTGTGGTGTGGCAGGCAGGTGGCAAACATGGTGAGGAACCACTGCATGGTGAAGACGTTGGTGAGTGGAGGTTCGTAGCTGCCTGCAAAAACAGCATGACATTAAGATTTTTTTTCATAAAAGTAAAACAGTAAAACTTGGTTAAACTACTATCCACTTCATATAGTACTTTTAATGTAGTGACAATTTAATGATACCCCCAATTTGATTTTTGCCATTTAATTCCAGTAAGTAAGTGGAAGGCAGGTGTCGGGGGAGTCTCTCACCTCCTCCTGTCCGATTGGCTACTTTCTGTAAGTGGTGAAGGTGTTGAGAAAGCTCCGGAAGCTTAAGTCTCAGCAGATCCCTGAACACGGCCATGTCCACAGACAGAGCCCGCAGATTATTGGCAAAGTAGCTGTCAGGAAGTACCTTATCAATCAGATAAATCATCACCTGAAAGAATACACAATGAACAGCGTTGTGATCAAGTCAAGGAAAAAAAAGCCTAGAGGCAATGTATGGAGGCAATAGGTACTTGCACTGCCCGACAAAAACATTGTTGGACCTAATGATGATGAGGACCAATCTAATCTGAATAGTGCTATTAGCGTACTTCTTACTTTCAGACTTTCAGGTATTGCTGAACCAAAACATACCTTTAATGCATCACCTTCATTGCCCTCAGTGACCTCCAGGATAAGAGCAGCTAGCACGTTGAAGCCTTGGCAGTAGCCCACAGTCTTGTTCCAGCGGGCGTAGGCCAGCAGCACCCGCTTCAGCACCACCCGGTCTTGCTCTGCCTCCTGACCGCAGTATGAACTGCAGCCTGTTCTGTGAAGGTCCTGAGGATGAGGATTAGGGGTGGGCAATATGATAAATTTATCACAATAATTTAAGTAACTATAAGCTCTTACGAGCATATTGTGGATGTCATCAGTACACTGACAAATTGCATGATTAATTAAAAAGAGATTTATGCAGGGCTTCCAAGCGGTGTAGCTGCCTAAGGTTTCATCCTGTTGTTGGGAAAAGTCAGAGTTCTGGGAATTCAGGAGAGCATGGCTAGCCCTGTTTAAGTGGACGTAGTGATGTACAGTATGTGAAATGTTGTATTATAGTAAAACAAGCGCACACAACATTATATATTTTTTTCATAGCCTTTAATGTGACACTACTGTGGTCTGTTTCCAACTTCTTAAACCTCAGAAAAACTAAACATCACAATATGTATTGTACATTATTAAACGGCAAGATGTTATATTTTTGCCATATTGCCCACCCCAATGAAGAAAATTATCATTCATAATCAAATCTTTCATTAAGCACATGGGAGGATTTTTGCACATAGACTCTGGGTTGTGAAAACAAAAAGGGGATGTATGCTTAAAATGTAATCACTCATCACTCAAACACGATGCTAGTCAGCGCAGGCATCTGTTAGCTGACATAACAGATCTGGCGGTAGGCACTTTCCTCCAAGCGTGCTCAGCTGTCCAATGACGTTGCGTGAGCGGCAGTTTGAAAAGATGCGGTGGCGCTTCACAGGTCTCGGAGGAAGCCTGTGTTAGCCTTCGCCCTCCTAGCGTTGGTAGTATTGTGTGATTGGGGAAGTCCTAACTAGCGGGTGAACACAGAAATCTGATCCACTAAAATCAGATTTGAGCCACTTTCACATTTGGTCCTTGATCAGATACAAATATCCAATATATGGCCAATCGGCCGTGACAATGGTCAGTTTGGAATTAATGTGATTTTTGTTTATCATGGAGAGGAAGGCAGGGAGGGTGAGCCTGAGAAAGAAAGAAAGAAAGAAAGAAAGAAAGAAAGAAAGAAAGAGAGAGAGAGAGAGAGAGAGAGAGAGAGAGATGGACTTTGCCCCCTGTTGAACTTGCGATGAGTCACTCAGCCTTTCCGTGCTGAGGAGGCCACAGGCGTTCCCCTGTTCCATTATCCACTCACAGCTGACACTCTACACAGCAAACATCCTGCTGGGCCAGTTAACCTTTAATCAGAGTGCTTCCATTTTAGGCCATTAAATATCTCCCTCCAATAAACATCCGCTTTCCCTTCAGCTTTCGACATCTGCCTCGCAATTAAATATTTACAAATATGCGGCCTGTTACCATTGTTTTATATTACTACATTTATTAGACAGAAATATATTAACTCAACAAATGAGATGCTGCTAATGTGCTTTTTACTCTTACTGAAATAACTAATGTAATTTACAATATTTAGTGCCAGAGAACTGCTTTTGCTATTTAGCATGAACAAAGCTTTGAAACAGTTTAACATGTTTATGACCTAAAAGCAAGACTTTCTGGTACACATTACGCAAAAACATACACATGAATATATTACCTTGACAATCTGGATCCCGAGTGAGTCATCATCTGGATTACTGCGCTCATTGAAAGCAAATCTCATGGTCTTCTCCCAGTCTATGGAGATGCTGTGAAGGTACTGATCAGCTAGGGTTAACCACACCTGGTTCAAAACAAACCAAACATCTCAGACGTGATATTCACCTACATCAATGAATGGTGACATTATTCTTACAATTAAATACACAGAAAACACTGAAATGTGTACTTCAAATGGCGTGCATAAGTAACTGGACAGTGACAGTGTTTGCGCTTTGGCTCTACCCTCCAGAACACTGGATCTGAAGTGAAACAACGAGGTTAAAAGTCATTCAGATTTGACTGTATTTACATTTGGCTAATCATATAGGAATCACAGTCCTTTTTATACATAACCCTTTGTTTCAGGGATAAATGGGAAAATTCTGCATTTTAATCTGGTAATTTTTTTTTTATTTCAAATGCAGTGTGCTGGAGTGAAAAGACAAAACCACAACAATTTGTGTCACAATATAATTTAAGGCTGTCATTTATTACAGATATTGATTACAGCAGTAATAAAGTGTTCTACCAATTCAACAAATCTATTCAATTTGATGATTAATCGAATAAGGCCAAACAAAAAAATGGGCTTGCAACTATGCAAAACTATACTTTTACTAAAAACACTTTACTGAGAAAATATAAAGAAGGAAGCCTTTAAAAAGCCTTTAAAATCATATAAGTGAGTCACACAAATTGTATCGCTGCTAATTCAATGAGAAGGTACAATTAATCAATTTAATTGATTATCTTTTAAAATCAAGTTTAATCATTAATCGTGGACGGACAGGACAATTACATTCAAAGTGCAGTGTACATACAAAGACCAAGAGGAGTAAAAGACATACCCTCCTCCTCCATTCTTTGGGGATGCCCGTTGGGAGTCGAGCTACAGCCTTGAGAGCATCATACCACTACAATACAGACATTACTGAACACTGAGTGTCAAAGCAACAAAGCAATACAAGAGTTCATTTTTAATTCTCTGGTCAACAGACCTATACTTATTAAAAAATACAGCAAACGCACTTTTTAAATTTAAATTTTAAATGGGTCAGCTTACCTGCTGAAACCCGTTCTTGCCAAGTGATGGTTCTAGAGTGAACTTCAACCTGGTATCAACTCCTAAGAGAAAGAAAAAAAAAAAATCACAGATTTATTGTGAAAACGAGCTAAAGATGGTGGTCAAAATAACATAAAAAGATAATAAAAGGATCTTATTTTCAAGTGTCAACGCGAGTTTAAACCATTTCTTTCAAGACTAACTCATTTATTATTTGTGTTTCTAAAGTTATAACAAAGAAAAAGATGAGACACTCTTGGGTGACTTGGGGTAAATCTAGTTACATTGGTCACAGAATGTCCAGAGAGACTCTTTATAAAATAATGGTATCATATTTAAAAACAAGAAAACAAGAAAAGTTGCATCATGAGGGCGAAAGAGTAGCTGAAACTAGTTCAAACTATGTCTGAAAATGACAGCAGAGCTCAACTAATATTTCCTTAAAACAAACAAACAAACAAACAGACTCCTTCAAAAGCTTTACACCCTGATTCAATATGAGCTTTCTAACTCTCAAAACTCTTAAAAGCACACAACAAAAATCGTTCTCTAAACTGATGCTGTGGAAAAAACTTTTGTTTGCTTAAAAAAAAAAAAAATCGACAGATGGTTCTTTGAGATGTATGTCAAGAACCTTTGTAAAGCATGAAGACCCTCAATGTAATGTAAAGGTTCTCAATCCAATGAAAATGTTTTACTAGAACCAGGAACCAGATATTTTTAAGATCTGAAAGCAAGTCCTCATAGCTGGTAGACCCGTAAACTGCCTTTAGTGTTTGCATGATTCTCTCCTCCCACTGCAGCCTATTTATGTGTTGTGTGGGTGTAGCACTATTGTGTTACAGTGCTTGGCTCTCGAGAATATAATGCCTCACAATTAAGGTTTCCTTTATTCATGGAAGCCCTTTTTACACGCCGTTATCATGCAAACAACAGCCTACAACAGCTGGCCTTAAAAGGGAGTGAGAGAGTGAATCTAAACTGAGTAAAATAACCTCAATAATGAATGAAGCTACAGGGCTGCCTCGCTTTTCCATGTCCTTTCTCAGAGCTAGGCTAAGCCGAGCTGCTCGACGTCTCAGTCTAAATGTTACACTTTACTGTAGATGTGCTACTGAATAAAGCAGAAACTGTAGTTATTATTCCGTTTTTAACGAAGGTCAATAGCACAGGCTCCGTGTAAACGTAGATAGATGTGAGATTTACATTGTGGGTCGCTGTCCGCCTCGCTGCGGTGCTGATCTGCTTCCCACTTCCGTTATAAAACTACGAAATCAACTGTAAAAACGTATCAAAGCCTGAGGATCTTTCGTTTTTTTATTTTATTTGTACCATACTGAAACAGATGGACAAAGTCATACACGCTGTCTTATAAAACGCAGATGTGTTTTGCTAACTAAATTAGCAGCCCTTGCTAACTAAGTCCCTCACAGCGGCACAGAGTTACAGACAGTACAGAAGAAAAAAGCACCGAAATATGACACCGATCTACTTCTTATCACACACTGTTTCTCTCAAAACCGTCCAAGTTTGAAGACAGACCTGTGTCTCCCTCCATCATGTCTCTCCTGCTAAAGGCTAAAAGCAGCACACCAGCAGACCAGCGACCGTTTTTAACGTTAGACCATTTTTCTCTTCACAGCTAAGGCTTCAAGGGATTAGCCAGCACGATTATAATCTCTGACACACTCCTACTCCCCTTCATGTGGAAAAAACACCCTGAAAGCTGCACTGAGCACCGAAAAAAGGTGGACACTGAAGTCTACTGCAGCTGGGACAGCCTATCCTTTACAGGCTAAGATGACCATATGTTACTGTAGGGATGTTAAACAGTCTTAGCATCGTAAAATCTCAGGAATCACCTTCAGCACCATCAGAGAAGACCAAATAATGTAACAATAAATACGTACATATATACATACATACATATAGCCTACCTTAGCTATGGTTTCTATCTACCAACATGGGTTATCATGCTAATATTAGAGCTTCCTCAAATCTCAGGGAACCTTTCACCATCCTCAAATCTCAGAAAAACACCTCCAGCATCCCACGAAAATAACACAAAGTGTAAATAAAAAGTCTAAACTGTGATAGATTCTCTAGATTATATAGGTTAGCGTGCTAATATGATAGCTAGCACATCTGGCTTTCATTCAGAAAAGAGACCCTCAGCATGCTCAAAATTTCAGAAAAACGCATTAAACAGGTACAAATATCAGAAACAACACTTTCAGCATCAACAGAAAAGATGTAAAACGTGATAAATAAAAATGTCTGTGATGATTTTTTTATGCTAACGTTAACACGACAGCACATCAGGCTGTGAGACCATCAACATCCTCTAATCCAGCAAAAAAACACCCTCAGCGTGCTTAAAATGTCAGAAAATCTCATTCAACAGAAACAACAGCTACAGAACCACCAGAAAAGATCATGAAGTGCTAAAAAATAAAAAAGTCTAAGCTGTAATACCTTGGTTAACATGCCAACATGATAGCACAGCAGGCTGTGAGACACCTTCAGCATCCTCAAATCTGAGAAAAACGAATTAGCATGCTCAAAACTGTAGAAAATACCTCCAGAATCAAAAAGACTTCAAAATGTGTGTCATATGACTGTTAAACACGGAAATATGCTAAGCTAACCGAGTTTACCATTTCAGAACCACGGCCAGCTACAGGCGACCCTTCCCGAAAGAGCTCCCTGTCTCCAACACTGATTCATAAACATCATCCGGGTAAAAAAACAAGCCTGCCGATTGAAATGAGGCCGTTGGCTGTAAACTGCGGACAGGCTAGCACCGAGCTGACCATCACCTGGCTCCAGCGTGCACAGCAGGCGAGGGGCGCTCCTCGAGATGCCATTGCGCTTCTTGAGGACGCTGCTGATGATGTTCCCAACCCCACCGGCGCTCTGGCGCTTCAGACAGATCTTCGACCTCCTGGAGGCCACGAACCGGTCCTGCTTCATGTTTTTCTTGGCGAAGAATGAATGAACAGGCCACTCGTGAATATACAGTAGGTCTAGTGTCCACTTTACACGCCCTTCTCCAGCCTCCTCTACTGGATCCTTTCGCCACAGTTCACAGAAAAATAACGCGGGCGTGTTCTGCTGACATATGAGAACATGCGGAGAAGTCTCAGTGCAGCCCTGCCTGAGGGAGGACGGAAGATGGCGAGCTGATCACCGCAGATGATGGTAATTTCTCTCTTCATTCAGTCGTGTGTTATCCTCCAGGAAACGAGATCCATCCGGGTTTGAAACGAACAGGACGCATTAGAGACGCTTTTTTCAGCCAAAACGAGGCTTTAGCTCTCCATAGAGGAGCTTTTCCTGCACCTCTGCAGGAGAGGGAGGAGGAAGAGGAGGGATGAAAGATGCAGTGGAAGAGGGGAGGTGCAAACCAAAAGGATAAACAGATGGGGGAGGAGAGAGAGAGAGAGAGAGAGAGAGAGAGAGAGAGACAGAGAGAAAGAACACAGAACTGGACTTCACATGTGGTCATCTAAACTCTGATCAAAGTTTTATATAGTAATCCCAACAGATTAAGATCAACGTCATCCAAAGTTATGAGTTATTTCATTTCTAAAGCAAAAGGAAATGAGGCTTGACTCCAAGTAAAGATTAGAGTGAGGTATAAGAAACTTACACAGACATACATTCAGCTTTGAATCAGACCATGTGTTGGACACTGGTTTATGTAATCATCAGAAATCATACATAAAAAGGAATTTGTAATACTTTTTAATAAAATCTGATAAGAAATGTGGTCATTTCTCAGGTGCTGACATCATCCAAAAAATAAAAAAATGAGCAATCAGCACTCATAGATCACAATTTTTAGTAATTATTTACCAAATTTAACAAAAAGGAGTTTAAAAAACACACACTTTTTGACGCACAATTACTATTTATTAGCTGAGTTTAACATATTGGGGAAAAAATAAAACAAAGTGTGGTCCGTGCAAAAGTTATGGCACATTTTAGATTTTATGTTTTATGTTAAACTCAAATTTGCAGAAAAATGTCATAGTTACGTTTGCTCCCTGTAGAGGACGTGTTAAATAGGAGGATAAAGGGATTGTGTGATCATAATCAGTATGTATACTAGAGAGTGACTCAGCACTGTCCACTTTCACACAGCCAGGAAATCCTGATACAGTACTTACATAGATAAGAAAAAGTGTTTGTAGACAAACAGAACATTGCTGCACATGGTAAGTAAGGATGCCATTTCACAGGTAAAGTTTTGCAAATTTTATATAATTCTATGTTTTGTGTTGTTTTGTTTTGTAGGGGAAAACTGTGGAACCCCAAAATGGGTTCTGATATTGTTACAAGCTCATATTGTAACAGTAGTAGAACCTTTTTGGTGCTATATAGAACCCTTTTTCAAAAAGGTTCTATTTAGAACCATCTACAGCACATTCTCCATCAATGTGATGATGGGGGAGAAGGGAGAAAGCGAGAGAGCGAGAGACAGAGCGAGAGAGAGAGAGAGCGAGAGAGCGCGAGAGAGAGAGAGAGCGAGAGAGCGAGAGAGAGAGAGGGGGGGGGGTGCATTAAAATGTGCAAAAGTGTGTTCTCTGTAGATGACGAGTTACTTTAGAATACAAATTTAGGGAAAGGTCACTGTTTAGCCTGCTTCATGCACAAATGGGGAACTCTGAACTAACTAGAGATGTAGCATCGGTCTGCCTCAGGGTGGCGCTGTAGCACACTGGTAGACTCAGTTGGTCCTTCAAAGCCTAGCAATCTGCTCAGGATAGAAAAACTTTACAATATGCCACAGCATATATGTAAATCTGCAAAAACCTGCCTAGTTTCCCAAGAAACTGGAGGAAACAGAATTGTCACTCGTTTCCCAAACTGAAGACAAAAGAAAATATGTCTAAGTTCCCAATTAATGTGAGAAGACCGCATTACCAAACTACAAAAGAAAATTTCCATTAGAAGAATTGTTGAGACAAGCATTTTGCTGCCATTAAAGCTAGCATTAGTGCTGCTATGATGAGTGAGTTAGCAGTAAGCCAACGCTGGAGTAGCCAGCCAACATAGGACCCCCTGAATACCAGGGAATATTTCACACACTGATCCAGAGCATTTCTTTTATATAATGGGAAAAAGAGCAATGGTTTCCCATCTAATGTACAAAACATTACAGAACAAAATGAGCTACAGCCAACCTGCAAACCCTCACCAACATATCTCACAGTTCTGTCACCATTCTGAGAAAGAAAAGCCTCACTGTGTCACTGCAAAGTGGCTATTCATACAATGATGAGGAAACAAACAGAATAAAACCATGCAGAGCTTGAGACGTTTGTTTTCAGGGCATTATACTGTACCTGCTCAGTGGTCATGCTGCATGTGGATAAAATAGAGAAGAAACAATCATTTCATATATTGTTTTCATTACAAGTATTAAGTGTACATCTGAATATGAGAAACTAATTGAAGCTGCATCCTATATTTCCAAAACTACTTTCATTATCATTACTTTAAGCCACTGATTCACATTAGATTCCTCATCTTCTAAATATAACCATTCTCATCCAGCTACAAATAAACACTGTTTAAAAGATATAATTAAGTTCTTTAGGTTTTTTAGATGGATTTCTGAAGGTTTTTGCATTTAGAGCCATGGTTATGCATTTATGGATGGCAACACGAGCTTGAATGTTTTAGAGTTGATCTGAAATTATTGTTTAAAATCAGCCCACAGGTGTAATTCATTTATGGTTAGGTGTAGCAATGCAAGTTTAATCTTAATTCATTTAATAATTGTTTGTATGGCAGCCGCACAAATACACTGTCGGATTCTCTTCTTTAACTTTTATAGTTGGTAAAGTTTGTATGAATTACCAAAAATAATAAAGTATTCAAATCAGTAATAAATGCTGCAGTAAGTCATTCAAATGTGAGCCAGGTTTGTGTAGTACTTTGTCCTCAGGTTACCTTAGAGATGCTAAAGAGAATAAGAGGAAAGTTTGATTGTCATTTTTACAGATAATTAGTTCTGAAACAGATTTCAGTTTTACAGGCAAATAAAAACTTCTCATTACTGTAATCATTTGCTGCCACATTCATTTTAAAACATCACCAGAGTGCTGTGAGGAAATGAGGTTGAAAGCAGCACTTCAAGTTCTTTAATGAGCTGCTTCCAAAGCAGAATGATCCCAACGAGCAACATGCATAAATCTGTAAGCATGAAAGATTGAGTTTTAAAGAAAACTGAAATCAACTTTCATTTCGATATATACAGCATAAAAACGTCTTATGCAACCTGATCCTTCTGAGAAAGACTTAAACCCCCACTGAGCCCGGAAATGGATGAAATAAGAGAACACGGATTAGGAATTACTTCTTTTCTGGGAGACAGCTTGCAGGCAGGCGGTGACGATGTCGCATTTCTTCTGATATTTGTGATGAAGCCGGTCCTTCCTCTTCAGCTGCCGCACCAGTTTAGCTGACTGGATGCCGATACGGTAGTTCACTTCCTGAATGATCCACTTCAGTTCCTCTGGATCTGCAAAGAGAAAAGACACACACAAAGCCGGTTCTAATCTGGATCCAACAGTGCGAACAAGTCATCTCAGACAATGGCATGAGAATTTACAGGCTTGAAAACAAGGCAAGCTTTTTCATTTCTCAGCTAACTGAAATTGGTACTACACAGTTGTTGCTTGGGTACATCTACTTTATGCTGCTCTCCATAACTCAAAAGTAAGGGTGGAGAAAATCACTGTAGGCAGGGGTGTCCACACCTATCCAGTGTGGCTGCAGGTTGTCATTCCAAAAAAGCACACCTGATTCCACTTAATCAGTTAGTGTAAGTCTTCATAGGTATACATGCATAGATGACTTTTATATAGATAGACAATTTGAGAGGTCTACACAGCTACTGGACCGACAATCAGTACAATTACAGAGCAGGGGTTTAAGAAAGGTGCCGCCCAAAATCATACTAGAACACGTCACTCACAAAGTTTGGACTGAATTACGTAACAGAAAGAATGCAGCGATCAACACTCACGTTTCTGCAATGTTCATGCAGATATGATCATGCCATTATAAGGACTAAAGCACAGAATCTGTTGGCGTCAGTGTTTTTCCTATGGCTTCATATTAAGCTAATTTCACTTAATAACCTATACAGGATATCCTTTCTTGATGTGAAGTAGTTTTGCTATTTTATTTACACTATTTACAAAAACAGCATAATCTATCTGGTGCATTAGATTAGGACCTTCTGACTGTGTTTAATGTGTTTTATTTCATTTGTATGTGCACTGAGATGTGATTGACCATTTACTGATTCGCTGATGTGTGTGAGATTGTGTTTCTACCAAAGCTTGCAAAGGTTTTTAACGTCAGGTGCAGACTGAATACTTTTTCTGCTGCTCTGAACAGCTAACCAGCACTTTATATATCGCTGTTGTCGGAAGAAAACCTTGTATCTCCATTTCTGTTATTTTTTAGTTTTTGACATAATGTAAAAATTCCTGTTGCTCTTGATGAATGGACTAAAAGAAATGGCCCAAAATGACTTGGAAAAATGTTTGGTTCCATTGACTTACCTTAAAAAGTAAAGTAGGTTTTTTCCTTGTCCTGTAAAGTTAACATTTTGGAAATACGAGGTTTTGTTCTGACAGCAGCAATATGTGACAGTGTCTTCACATAAAGGTTATATACCAACTTAAGCGCTCATCCTAGAACCTTAGCATCAGTGGTTCTCAAATCTTTTTAGTCTGACAACAGCGATTTATTTAGCACTCCATATGTACACAAGTGTAAAGAAATTATCAAACTGAAATCTAATTTGCACTTGGTGAAATGTTCTATAAAACTCTAGTTGAGCTCTACCATGGGCTGTCAATAAATACACTTTTATTTACATATTGTATGTACTTTAATGTTCAGATTTTTTAAATGTATAGCATAAACATGTCATTTGATCTGCTGCCTCTTTTCTCAAGAAAGATTCCCATCACTGCCTGTAAGCATCGGATTAATGTAAATCTAAATATTTTTTCACTCCTTCACTTACTTCTTCACACGTCTTATGGCTGTTATCAGCTTTAAAATTTAAATTTTAGCAAGTCTTATATAGGATTTTGACTGACTCTAACATGATGGACACGCAGACGTACCACCTCTGATTGAGAACAACAGACAACATGGCTTTTATTATGTATGTATATCCATGATCAGTCTTCAGCATCGAATCCTGTGTCTGGGGAGAAAGGGCTCAAGGACAGGGATGCAGCTTGAATATGAATGAAATTTAATTTACTGTATATTGTAAACACTCTTATCAAGAGAATCAGCATAATTATGTTTCACACAAAACCGCTACTTCACCTCTTTTTTCTCTTCTATTCATCCTTGATTGGTTAAAGGATGATATTGCTGTTGTTTTTCAGTTTTTGACATAATTTGAAAATACCTTTTACCCTTTACATTATATGTAAATTTCATGATGAATGGACTAAAAGAAATGACCCAAAATGACTTGGAAAAAAGTCTGGTTCCATTGACTTACATTAAAAGTAAACTATGTTTTTTCCTTCTCCTGTAAAGTTACCATTTTGGAAATACAAGGTTTTGTTCTGACAGCAGCAATATGTGACAGTGTCTTCACATAAAGGTTATATACCAACTTAAGCGCTCATCCTAGAACCTTAGCATCAGTGGTTCTCAAATCTTTTTAGTCTAAGGTCTCCTTTATAGATAGTAAGAGCCATTGTGCCCACCAACCCCCCTCCAACCCCAAATCATTAATTTAACTTGATACACCAGGACCTTGTCTAACCAGAAACTAGCTTTCTTCAGAGCCGTCGCCGACCTGCATGTATGTCACAACACTGTTCTAAGACATTACAGTTAACTCGGTAAGGGCGTTCAGGATGGCATTTTAACAACATCTGCCGTTTTTAAACAAGTACTACTGTTTTTAGATATGGCCAAAACAGATTTCATAAAGTGACAAAGTGACAAAGTAAAAATTCATTATACTTCTGAGATTTTTCTGCAGCCCCCTTAGGGCCCTCCTGTAGCCTCTGCCTCCAGTTTGAGAACCACTGCTTTACATGCTGAGGTTCTTTAAACTTTAAAAAAGTTCACTACACTTACAAATCTCATTTACATAAAGTGGTTCTCCTTCGGAAGCTTTTTGAGGGAATCAAAAGTGGCTCGTTTTCTTTTTCTCCTAGCTTTCTGATTTGCTTTATGGCTCACTATATCATCATATTGTATTATGCAAGTTCTCTTATTTTTCTTTTTATTCAATACAGTATATGGTCCTAATATAACCTCATCCTCTAGATAACCTCTTATGTCCTGAATGGTAACTTTACAGTAAAAGGAAAAAAACATTCCTAACTTTTGATGCAAGTTAATATTAATTGCAGTTTTGCACGATTTCTATTGATCCATTCATCGTAAAATTTTCACTCTGTGTAAACGCAGTTCAAGCAATGTACAAAAAATGAAAACTGTCAAAAATTGGGATACAAGTTTTGTTCCATTAGTGGCATTATACTGAATTCCTACACACATACACATATATACATATGTGTACACATTGGGGTCCAAAATTTTTAAGATTTTATTTCTTGGTCACTACTCAAATTTAAGGAAATGTGTGACACGATTAAGACATACAAAAAGGTAGTTTTTTAGTCTTATCTCTTCAACTGAACATCGTGTTTAGACTCAGATAGTCTCAGATCTGATATGCTCATGAGAGGCTTTTGCACAACTTGCAAAAAACCTGCCAGCTTGAGCGCACGCAGTCATTAAAGCAAAAGGGGGCGTCACTGAATATTAAGAAATTCTTAAATTCATGCAAATATTTCAAAGATTCTACTTTTGACTCAAATTGTTACACTGATAACATAATTTATAATGAAAAAGTGTATCAGATTTGGAACTCAGACGGCAAAATAGAAGCATAATAACTAGCGGTCTCAGGCCATCACTACACACACACACACAGGAAGGGTCCTACAGTGGCCTCATATTAAATTTAAATTATCCTTGATTGGTTAAAAACAGACATGTGACAGACATGACCTAAAACGTGGATTAAATGAAATAAAAGGAACATGAAAAAAAAATGAAATAAAAAGTAAAACATTTAGAAAAGAAAAGAAAAATGAAACCTATCCACTAGTCTGCTACTCTTTTGGAGCCCCATACTAATAATGGGCCTAACTCAACTCAGGACTCTCCACTGGATCAGTACTGACCTTTCTGGCACAGGTAGCTCATCTGGTGTCTCCTGGTGTGTTTGCCCTGGAGCTCCTGCAGAAAGCTGGAGCCGGTGTTGCTCCTGCTCAGCGCCGCCTCTGGCCCGGACGCCTCGGTTGAGCTGTCCCAGCTGTCCGCTCCTCTGCGGCCAGGGCTACTGCAGGTGTCGTACAGCTCCACCAGCAGACGGTCCACAATAGACGAAGCTCTCCGGTCAGCGTGGTAGGGTCCATCCCCGGCCTCTCCGCCGGACACAGAAAACCCGGATAACGAGCTTTTCAGCGCCACATCCTCGTAGCTGCACTGGCAGCGCACATCAGACACAGCAGGTGCTCCGCCTGAGCTCCACTGGTGCAACGTTGCAAGCTCGAAAACCCCGCTCTCCTCCTCCCAGCACAGGTCGTGATCACATATGTCAACTTCTTTCAGCTCCGTATCACTGACCTCCACGCTGGACATTTCTGTTTTCTTCACAAAAGTCCACCTTACTGTCCCGAGTCTACGTGTCGGTCATAGCCAGCTCGCGCCTCTCACCTGCCACGACGGTATTATTTTACTGATGCAAGGAGGAACTGGAGTTCCGGGTGCATGCCATTCCTTCAGCCTGCTGCAGCTCCTTTAGCTTCCCACGATCTTGTTTCCTTCCTGAAACAGAGGCGCCCCCCTGCAGGAGAGAGTGGTGCAGCCCCGTTTACTGAAACTTACTGAGGAGATCCACAGTTACAGCTGCAGGCCTTCAGCAGACTTTACTCACAGAAATTCAGCTTGATCAAGTGAAAACGTTATTATACCAGTAAAAAAAAATAATAATTTTGACAAAAATCGATTTGTGAAAACCAAATTCTAAAGTTTCAGAATTCAAATTTCAACTTTTACTAGTAGTAAAAGCATGTAAAACAAAAAAAGTTCAAATTAAATTATTGCATGTAACAATTTCATTTTCACTAGTAAGAAATCAGTTTAAACATGTTATTTACAATTTCAACATGTCAAAAATTAAATTTTAATGAAATGCTCAGATGTTAAAAAGCAATAAATAGCAGTAAAAATGATATTAAAGGGAAATTCCACTGATTTCTCAAAATCTGTTCCAAATTCCAATCATGAAGATGTAAACAAAGTCATCAAAAGTGGTTTACTGTGAAAACTTCTAGAAAATTAACTTTCGTTCCCAGTGGTGGTGATAGGAACCAGACGTCTGAAGAGTTTAAAAGCTCCCTCACAGAACTAATACGCTGCCTGATGACTGAGATATTGTTTTACAAAAGCAGCCTAAAACATTTTTCTTAATACATTCATGGTGGAGAGGTATATGCAGGCGTTGAAACGCAAAATGTTACGTATTTATGTTTTCAGATTTATCACTATTTTATTATTATCAACATTACGAACATTATATAAACTCAGAAGACGTGTAGGAGCACTAGCTGTTTTAGATAGTAAATAAAATGGCTATATTTTTGTGTTGTAGACATCACAACCTCTGGTTCCTATCACCACCACTGCAAAGAAATTTAAGTCTCTAAGTTTCTCTACATTGAACCATTTCACATCAAACCACTCAGAATGAGTTTGTTTACAACCCAACAGTAGAATTATGCAGACATTTTGAAATTCCAGTGGCATTCCCCCTTAAAATTAATTAGGAAAGACAGTTTTACACAGCGCCAGTTGGACATGCTAATTTGCCCCTAGGTGTGAATGTGTATGTCTGTCTGTCTGCCCTGCAAAGGACTGGTGGCCTGTCCAGGGTGTATCCTGCCTTCCACCCAATGACAGCTGGGATAGGCTCCAGCACCCCACCGCGACCCAGAAGGATAAGCGGTTTAGATGGTGTGTGTGTGTGTGGGTGTGGGTGTGGGTGTGTGGGTGTGGGTGTGTGTGTATGGGTTGGGGTGTGTGTGTGTGTGTGTGTGTGTGTGGTGTGTGTGGGTGTGTGTGTGTGTGTGTGTGTGTGTGTTTTACACAGCAGTTTTTCCAGAAAGGCTGAGAAACTAGTCACATTCACTCAGCTACATGTACTTATGTGTACTTGTAAGAAACTTTTGATTCATTCATACTTGTCTGAGTTTTTAAAAGATAATATTTCTGCTTATTCAACCATTTTTCTAAAAAAGTTCATCTACTTTTTACTTGCTTTTTTTCTCTATTCTGTTCTATTCTGCTCTGTTGGTTCAGGTATTGCTTTGCTGTTGTTCACTCCTCTCGCTTTCAAACAAACATTTAACAAAAGAGAAGAATAACACCTAATAAACTTAAGTTTATACTTGAAAGTTTGAGTAACTCTACTTATCTGTACATGAGAGACTAAATGATTAGGTTTATAAATGGATTTGTACACAAATTTTAAATGTAGATAAATTAATGTAAAGAAGAGTTTTGACTACTTAATGAAGTTAAATGTACGGGGCCCAGCTGTAGGCAAATATGAATAAATAGAACAGCATATGGAATTATATTAATTAAGTACAGAATCAAAACATGTTTGTGATGTGAAACAAACATGTATGTGAGTTTTGAAACTTTCCGCTTTGTCTTATTTTATACCTATACAATACATGCATATATGTGTGTAGTAGCAGTATGTGTGTTTATTAGGTTTACTTGGCAATTTTATTACAAATAATAATAGCAATTATTATACATGCAAACTCATACATGATCGGATTATATATATATATATATATGTGTGTATGTGTGCGTGTGTGTGTGTGTGTGTGTATATGTGTATATATATATATATATATATATATATATATATATATATATATATATATATATACACACACACACACACACATATACATATATATATATAAATATATTTATATATATATATATATAATCCGATCATGTATGAGTTTGCATGTATAATAATTGCTATTATTATTTGTAATAAAATTGCCAAGTAAACCTTATAAACACACATACTGCTACTACACACACACACACACATATATATATATATATAAATATATATATATATATAGAGAGAGAGAGAGAGAGAGAGAGAGAGATAGATAGATAGATAGATATAGATATATATGTATTACACATACTACACATAGTACTTTTACTATAAATTCATATACACAGTAAAATAAAATAAAATAAAATAATAATTAAAAAAATGCTACCACACCATAACAGCTCCAGCCAATCAGTGAAGAGCTCAGCCAGCCATCAGCTGACCGCGGCTTCCGCTCCTGCGCAGCACATGACTGAGGGAAACAAGTGGCGTGAAAAGCAGAAAGAGGGGTTTTCTGAGCTAATTTAGTCATTTTCACATCACCATTACTGCACAGAGACCTCAGAGTGCAGCCGTGTGCAGCTTTAACCTTCCTCTAAACATGGCCTCGGCTCGGCTGCGTCTCCGCTCAGTCGCGTTAACGCGTTTGGCTCTAATGTGCGTCACTTTGCTGAGTAACTCGGCCGCCGCTGTGGGGAACATGAACTTGAAACCTGTACCGCAGACCCAACATCGTTCTGATCCTCACCGATGATCTGGACTCCTCCATGGGCGGCATGGTGAGTCCTGTACTCTTTTCTTCCACTCAGGGCCTGTGCTGTGGAAGGGTCATGGTGTGAGAAGGCCTGTTAGAGCTCAGCTCATATGTGTGGCTTTATTCCTTACTCCGCAGATTCCCTTAAACAAAACGAGAGCGCTCATCGGAGATGTTGGGATCACCTTCACTAACACGGTAATGAAGCACTGCTATAGTGCGTCTTATTTCTCCATTTATTCCACAGATCTCCTTAAACAAAGCTGTCCTGGCGGCTTTAGTTGGGTTTTGCATGCTGGAGTATAAAACTGACTAATTTAATGCAGGTAAATCTGCTTGGGCTCTGCTCACAGCACAAAAGAGTCATAGTGAGCTAATGATGTGAATTTTTAAATGCCACTTCAGATCTAATCTGTTGAAATCTTGCCCGAACTATTCCTCTAGGATAGGTTTTTAACTTGTTTACAAGATCTTGATAAGCTCTCATTGGTCTCATTCCATAATTTCTGCATAATTCAGTGGTTGAGATGTAAATAGAATCCTTCAGAGTGTTTTGATGTGAAATGGTTCACTGTAGGGTTGAACAATATGACAGTATTTATCGTCATCATTATAAGTTACAACACTATGTCAAAATATGCTTTTCTGAGAATATGTTGGATATCGTGAGTACTTACAGATACTTCCCATATGTATGTTTGATTAAAATAACAGCATAATTATTCCTGTTTAATTGGAATTTGATTGTTACGATATAAAGCTTGTAACAATAGAAGAACCCTTTTTGGTGCCATATAGAACCATTTTCAAACAACGTCTGTATAGAACCATATAAACACATTTTCCACCAATCTGTAGAACCATTTGACCATTCAAAGAACAATTTAAGCATGAAATGGTTTATATAGAACTTGTGGTTCTAAACAGAACCGTTGCCTTTACTAAAGAACCTTAGGAGAACCATCTTTTGTAAGTGTGTAGAACAGAGCATTTCAGATCAATCTGTTCTGAGTTACTTTGTTTTTTAACCATTTACTTCTGTGGAAATTTTAAAAACTCAGTGGACCTCCCCTTTAACTCAGACCAGTCCAGATTAGACAAGGCTGAACAACTAATGCCAATGCTAAAAGGAAAGCTGTTTAATTAAGCAGTAGCCATGTGACAATAGTATGTGATGTGAGGCATGAGATTCATAATTTAGCACAGTACAGTGCAAAACTTTTAGACACCCAGAAAAAGCTATTTAAATGAGCGGTAAATGCCTAATGCAAGCAATGCACACATGGACCTCTTTTTGGCCACGACAAATTTGAATCTCCTGACCTTCCCCCTTACTCAAATGTTTTTTCTGAAGAAGTTAATGAGCTTTTTACTTTCTTCCATTTTAAGTCCCTCCTTTAGTTCCTATTTTTTTCCGTTGTTCTTTTTTCTGTTCTGTTTTGTTCTGTTGGTTCAGGTACTGCTTTGCTGTTGTTCACTACTCTCACTTTTAAACTTTAACAACAGAGACAAATATTTTAACAAAAGAGTAGAATAGTACCTGTGTGTGTGTGTGTGTGTGTGTGTGTGTGTGTGTGTGTTTGTTTGTATATATGTACACACACACACACACACACACACAGAGAGAGAGAGTTGTGCATGAGTGTTCAGCCTTGTCATGACAAATTTGAATCTCCTGACTTAATGTACCCCCCTCTCATTATCCTTCAGTTTGTTGCCAGTCCCCTGTGCTGCCCCAGCAGAGCCAGCATACTGACAGGCAAATATCCACACAATCACCATGTGATCAATAACACACTGGAGGGAAACTGCAGCAGTCAGGCCTGGCAGAAGACCCAGGAGCCCGTCACCTTCCCAGCACTACTGCAGAAATATGGCTATTACCAGACCTTTTTCGCTGGGAAGTATCTAAATGAGGTACAGACATCTTTACTGTTTGTACTTTTAAGTGTCTGCTAGGCCAGTGCAGGCAGCCTGTTTTACTAGGTTAGTATATTGACTGTTAGTATATTAACACCAAACAAAAAAATGGAGGGTGCATTTGCATGCATAAATTGCATATATTCATATTCCAAAAGCCTGTATTGCACTAACAGTTACCAAGTGATATTTTGTTGCAGCTCTATAGAGAATTTCTTTACACTTTACACATCACTGGTCATATGATATCTTCCACAGGATGTTGCTGTGTGACTAGCGATGTGTGATCACAAGATGCATAAGTGTGTACAGTACTGTGTAAAAGTTTATAACGCCAAAAAAAGCAGTTTAATTGAGCAGCATGTTTGTTTTCAGAAAAACGCTAGTCTTAGTATGAATACAAATAACAGAAAGTAATGATTTCATATATGTTGATGTGCTTGCTTTACCGTTTCCAAACCTCTTCTTTTGGCAGCCCAGTTTTAATTGTAGTTTTGATGTAATACTTGTGTTTTGTTAAATTTAATCAGATGGTGATGGAATTTAACAAATCAGTGTGATGGCTGGGGGCATCGAGGAGAAATGTGGAACCAAACCTGTGTTCTTTTAACTAGTTCAAAAGATATCAACAATCAGTTTTTTACTTTTTGCTGTATTTTTGTTTATTTGTATTTATTCTGATGTTATATAGTGTTTTACCCGAAAAACACACTTGCAGCTGAGATAAATGGTTTTAAACAATTGTACTATTGCACAGTACTATATAACTTGTCTCATTGCTGTCATATCATTAGTGTCTTGTTTATATTTATTGACACCATTTGAATATTGCAGCTGCCCTTTACATTACATTATTCATTATCCATGTAGTGACCTTTAACTATTTTATCTATTTTAACTATTTTGTCTCAGTAATGACTGAGAAGATCTAAGCTGCCTTTCACCGAATTTTCTGTTATAGTATGGTAACAAACAGGCTGGTGGAGTGGAGCATGTTCCCCCAGGCTGGGACTACTGGTTTGCACTGGTAAGGAAAACAAAAGTCCTAATCATACACCCACTGTGCTCTATCCATATTATTCTGAACACGTTTTAAGCATTTTCATACAAACTGTTTGATCTTGTGATGTGTTTTTCATGCTGTACACTGTTAGAAATAAAGATACTGTGCAGGTACATTTCTCATTCATCAAGGTACAAACAACATAAATCTACCCTGAAAGGTATAACAGTGGTTTTAATATCCAACTGTGTACCTTAAATAAGTTTTTCCTAGTAGAAAAGTATTTATTTTTATCTTTTCATAACCTAATGTTTCAAAACAGGACATTAAAATAAAAAGATTACAATATTTGGATTACAGTACAATTATGTTCCCTGACTAAAGGTACTGAGATGTACCCTTGAGGGTACCACCCCAGTGATGAGAGGGGTACTGCCCCAGTGACAGTTTCGTACCTTTATTTCTGAGAGTGTCTGATTGTAAATGCTTGTCACACACTGTTTCCTCAGCAGGCAGCTTTTAAACTTTATTTTATTTTGTTTGGATTTACAAATGGAGTAGCTGAGGCTTTGACATAGGGCATGAGGGGGAGGAGATGATTTAGTGGAAGCAGTGCTCGCTGGAGATCAGACAGACCCTTAATCTTTTCCTTCTTTACTGAGAAAATGTACTCAAAGAATAATGACAAATACTGCACTTACTTAAAATATCTGTTCATTTAGAACCTTCTATAAATAAGCCCAAAGTTTGATTGAAATATATGGAGGTCTAGTGTGGGATCTTGCTGCTGCCTGGCAAACAGTGAAGTTTTGCTGGTTCTGGGGTCAGTGTAAGTGGCAGCTCTGTGATTAACCTAATGTGTCCTTGGAAAAAGTGGGGTTTCAGTTGGTTTCTTTTACAGGTTCTTGCTTTAAAAAAACAAAATCTGCCCAGTACAGTTCCCTTAAACTCACTGTAACCATCCCAGTGGCTGCACTTCGAGGTCTTAAGCTAATTCTGTGTGGTTTTTTGCCTTCCACAGGAGAGAAACTCAAAATACTACAACTACACATTATCTGTGAATGGCAAAGCACAGAGGCATGGACAGAACTACAGTGAGGACTACCTTACTGATGTTCTGGTAAGTGTACAGATATGTTTTAAGTCTCATCACTGACAAAGTTCTACCTCATGTTTAATCCTACTTTATACTGTCCTAGGCCAACATCTCGATAGACTTCCTTCAATACAAGTCTAACTACAGGCCATTCTTCATGATGGTGTCTACACCTGCCCCTCACTCACCATGGACAGCTGCCCCTCAGTACGAGGGACAGTTTTCCAATCTCAAAGCCCCGAGAGATCCCAACTTTAACATTCATGGCAAGGTACAGAGCTATTTCTGGGCTGTGTTTCATCTGCATCTGTTGGAGGATTTTGTTCTTGCCAGTGTTTTGACCACATGCACTTCACTTTTTAGGACAAACACTGGCTAATTCGACAAGCCAAAACTCCAATGACTAACTCTTCTGTGGAATTCCTAGACAATGCTTACAGAAAAAGGTAATGTATGTAGCAGCTGTGTGAATCTCAGATTTCACCATGATTTGGTCTAATTGTTTTTCCACAATTCAGAATTATTAAAAAAAATATAAATTGTGAACACACATGTATTTACACTATTTACACACTTGTTGGGGGAGAGGGGACTTTTATGTTTGAAAAAGATGGAGAATTTGATCTGTGCCAAAAGAGCAGATAGTTACTGAATATTATTGTAATATTATATAATATTAAAATAGCTTAACATTCCAAAAGTGATGCAATTGAATCACTACCTTTAGATTGATACAGCAGTGCATTTTTATACCTAACTATTTAAGCTTGGATTACTTCTTACGTTAATGAATTGAAGCATGGCCGGGAATTGTTTGATGGGGTTCTGTGTGCTCCTAGGTGGCGCACTCTCCTGTCCGTAGACGATCTAGTGGAGAAGGTGGTGAAGAAACTGGAGGTTCGGGGAGAGCTGGAGAACACCTACATCATTTTCACTTCTGACAACGGCTACCATACAGGTACATGCATAAAGAAAATCCAGACTCATTGGTGTATTAATGCTGGTCTTACACCAAACGACTTTTCATGTTGCTGACAAATTTCCAATATCAAAATTAAAGTCATAAGAGTTTAAGGAGTTGTGCCACACTCCCCTCCATCATTTGGTTTGTCAGAATAGCTATCTTAAGTCAGTCTTTTTCTTGTCTTGACGTTCTGATAAAAACAGCTGTTTAATATTATCAAAAATTTTTAGTCTTAGTTTATTAGATACCATATAAAGCTGGGTCTCATGGCTTCACCTGTCCGATCATACATGAACTAAAACAGTCCAAAGCCTTGTGGTGGCATTACTTACAAAGATAAATGAAAATAAAAGAAAGAGCAAGGTCCAGTGGTCTTTGCCATGTTATAGCACAAACCCACTCTCTACTGCACAGCAGCGCTATGCTTCTGCACACGCTACTTAAGCATCTGTTAAAGGAACAGTGCGCCTTTACTGGCCATTACACCCTACAAGATTCCCAGTCTTTGTAAAATCATAGTTTGTGACTAAAACTCTGTTATGACTAATTGAACCACATTGTCTCACATTTGAGCCCCATCTTATAGCAGTGTAACCCCCTCCCCTTCTCATGATCCGTGTCTGCAAGGAAGATAATCATGGAGGATGCACATGATTGGGGACTTGATGAAATGAAATGCTTAGTGGCAATAAGGACAGACACTACTGTGCTAAACAACTGCAGATGAAATGCTGAACAGATAAATAATTGGTAATTGGTTGCCACATAACGAGGGGATCTGCATATTTCGTCCCACACAGCAGTTGGATTTCAGTCCGACTAACCGGAGACGCTTTTGACTACCAATTGTAAATGCATGTGGCTGAGTCTTATCAGGATACAATCCAGATACTAGTCACATGAAGTGACCAGTTGTAAATGGGGTCATTGTCTTTTAGATGTGAGAGGGTGTCAGGCTTTAGTCTTTTAAAAATCTTTTTCAAGTGTTCTAGTGCACGGTAAGCATAACACACTGACTGTTACCTTCCTTTGCTTGTTTTCTCTAATGCCATTGTCTCCTCTCAGGTCAGTTCTCTCTGCCCATGGACAAGAGGCAGCTTTATGAGTTTGATATCAGGGTTCCTCTACTGGTACGAGGGCCCAACATCAAGCCCAACCAAACCAGCCCGGTAATGCAGACAAGTGTTCAGGTGTCACAGTAAATTGCATTCATATCACAGGATTTTATATTCATGTAATTGCCTTGTTGAATTCTTTCACCAGTTACTTGTGGCTAATATAGATTTGGGTCCAACTATCCTGGATATGGCAGGGTACGACTTCAATAAGACCCAGATGGATGGGATGTCTTTTCTGCCAGTTATGGTATGTAACAGTGGAAATGTTAAAGAATTATAAACAGGCAAATAGCATGACCTCTAAGACATGTTAATGCCATGGATCTGTATCATTTCTTTGTGTTGCTGAACCACCTTTATGGCAAATTAAATGACGGAAAGCAGTTCAGTGTATAATCCATGTCTGTATGTCTGTATGTGCTTCAGACTGGGAAGGCAAACAGCACCGTGTGGAGGACTGATTTCCTGGTGGAGTATGAGGGAGAAGGACACAATGTTTCAGACCCAGCCTGCCCCATCCTGGGTCCAGGAGTCTCAGTACGTACCTGTTTGTGTGTTTTTAGGGATGGGCATGGTTATTTAAATTTATGGATATCCAAACTCCTCTTACTATTGGCTTACCAAATTGGATGCTGGTGTGCAGATATTAGGCAAGAGCCAAAAAAATCCCAGAAGCTGAATAGAGTGTGTTTATTAAATGAGTAGCAAATTTTTATTTACTTACAGAGGAAATCAGAAGATAACAAAAACAAGTTATAAATCAAGGCATGAGATCAAAAATCTTAAGATTAGAGAAGTGTAGAGGGCATTTTAAGTACTGATTGACATGCATGATATGGACAAAAGAATTGGGACACCTACACATGACACCTATGGAAGCTTTTATGACATCTCGTGTTATGCTGAAGCATTAAGATTTCCCCTCACTGGAACTAAGGGTCCTAGGCCATCCCCTGAAACACAACCCCATATCATTATCCCTCCTTCACCAAACTTTACAGTTGGCACAAAGCAGGCAGAGTGCTTTACGCCACTCTATCCGACGCTTCGCATTGCGCTTGGTGATGTAAGACTTCAAAGATTCGAGCTTGTGCTTACATGCCAATTAAATGCTGACAGACAGCTGAATCAGATATCAGACAGACACAAGTCCAGACAGTTCGTCATGTCCCCAGATCATACGTTTAATTTACTGTCTTTCACAGTTAATGATTATAAAATCCATTGATTTGTTTTAAAACCTTTATCAGTAGATCCATCATTCAGAAATCCAATCAGACCAGATATTGAAATAAGGTGTGTGTAGTTTGTGGTGTTGATGTTGTATGTCTGCTTGTCTGTATTAAACCACATACACCTAAAACACAAAGATAAATCACTAAATCAGTGATCAAGTACACTACCTCTTATGCTAACTTTGTGTTTTCATTTTTATTTAAAACAATGTGTTTCTTGTTGGGATATTGGAATAATGTTCATTTTAAAAATGCAGATATTAGATAGCACAAGTAGTTAACATGTCCATCCCTTGTGTGTGCGTTTCATGTTTTTGTTTGTGTAAAAGATAACAAGGACTTCTTCTTACTGTATTCTCTCTCTTTAGGAGTGTTTCCCTGATTGTGTATGTGAGGACTCCTATAACAACACCTACGCCTGTGTTCGCACACTGTCCCAGACTGCCAACCTGCAGTACTGTGAGTTTGATGATAATGAGGTAAGCATCACCAGATTGATACTAAAAAACAATCATGATTTTTTTTATTGCAATTCCGATTTCTTTAACAATCTCAAAGCTGATTTGTGAGATGGCTGATTTTTATTAGCCCCCCCGCCCTTTTTGTGTGAATCTCACTAGGACCAGTTCTTTTTATTAGCCAACGTTTCGACATAAATAGCATGATTTACTCTTTAATGGGCCAAACTGGCATTTTAAATTCACAAGTGAATTACAAATTGCCTATTTAAGTATCATGGCCTTTCTAATGGTTCTAAGCATGCTTCCCTAAGACTGTACACTGAGGTTCTATTCTTGGTCTTAATTAAACCTTCTCCCACCTATAGGTGTTTGTGGAGGTCTATAACCTGACAGCAGACCCCTTCCAGCTCACTAACATCGCAAAGACCATTGACCAGGAGGTCTTGGAGAGGATGAATCATCGTCTGATGATGTTGCAGTCATGCTCAGGACAGTCCTGCAGAACCCCTGGGGTCTATGACTCACGGTTCGTGCTCCTTTACCTCCCACACAGTCGTGCTGTTTACCTCAAATGAAATCTGATACCTATTCTGACAAAAACTATTTACATTTACATTTTTGTTGTATCATGTGAATGCCTTGATTCATTAAACACCCCACACATTGGTCAGGATGCTCACACCACAACCGTAAACAATGTGATTGGTTGAGAACAATGTTTTAGCTTTATTGTATAGTAAATGTTTGGTCATCTAATTATCGGAATATATTGGTGAATAAAATGTTTTCTGATTCCAGGTTTAAGTTTGACCCTCGTCTGATGTTCAACAGCCTCAATCCACACATAAGCAGACTGCGGCAGACTCTAAAGTAAAGGGAGAAGGCCCCTACAAAAGCCTGACCTGCTGTTGCCTTTGTATCCTGATCATTCCCTCAAGGACATGCCGGCCTTTCCATAATCTCTGTAAAGGAAGAGGTCATGAGGGGTCACTAGAGCAGGGGGAGCAGAATGCTGCCTCACTTTATTCACCTTGTGAGAGGGTTGCCCTTTTCAGCATGGCAACTCTCTGCCAGCTGCCATTTTGAGTCAGCATGACTTGTCTCTGCCTCATTGTTTCGTTTTCCCTTTCATTAATATTCATTTTGCATTTTGAGATTAACAATCTAACCTGTATTTAGGCCTCTGAAGGGCGGGGGGTAGCTGGGATGAGAGGTTGAGACTGTTTTAAATTGATCAGTGTTGTTTTTTTGTTTGTTTGTTTTTTTTTTTTAAACACAAAAGATCACCTGACATTTGAGTTTTCTTGGATTATCTAAGCAGATTCATATCAATATACAGTCCATACTTGTTCTGCTTTATGATTCTATTGCAATATTCTGTTTATGAAACAGAAAGATATTTCTAACAAAAAAAAGATAATTTATATGCATTTACATTCACCCAAACATTTGTAGGCCTTAAATTTGTACCATTTCAGATAAATATGATAAAGGAGTAGTTTGCTAAGGGTGGTCAAAGCCAAAGCTTGAATCACTGAATGTTTTTACTCTGTTATTTTCGATGATTACTGGCTAGATACTCTTAAAAATAAAGGTGCCTGAAAGGGTTCTTTGGAGCTATTTTAGAGAATAACCACTTTTAGTTTCCGAACAAACCTTTTAGAGTCTGATATCTTTACCATTTTAAAGGATCTCCATATAATCTCCATGTAATGTAGGTTTTACCTGAAACCATACTTTCAAACCAAGAACCATACAGGAAACTTTGTTTTTAAGAGTGGAGATGGAGGTACACTATATGTACAAAAGTATTGGGACACCCCTCTTAATTATTAAGTTCAGGGTGTTTCAGCCACACCTACTGCTAACAGGTGAATAAAATTAAGCACACAGCCTTGCTGGGGGTAAAGCATTCTGCCACTGGACTCTGGAGCAGTGTAAATATATTCTGTGGAGTGATGATTCGTGCTTCTCTATCTTGCAATCTGATAGATGAGTGTGAATGCCAGGAGAACGTTACCTGTCTGACTGCATTATGCCAACTGTAAAGTTTAGTGGAGAAGGGATAATGATATGGGGTTGTTTTTCAGGAGTTGGCCTGCTTTGTGGGAACAGTTTGGGGAAGACCCTTTTCTGTTCCAGCATGACTATATGCCAGTGCACAAAAGCAAGGTTCATGGTTAAGCGAGTTTGGTGTGGAAGAACTTGACTGGCCCACACAGAGCCCTGACCTCAACCCCATCAAACACCTTTGGGATGAACTAGAACAGAGATTGTGAGCCAGGCCTTCTCGTCCAACATCAGAGACCTCACAAATGCTCTACTGAATGAATGGGCAAAAATTCCCTCAGACAGCCTCCAAAATCTTGTAGAAAGCTTCCCAGAAGAGTGGAAGCTGTTATAGCTACAAAGGGGTACCAACTCTGTAATAATGCCTATGGATTTAGAAATGGGATGTCATAAAAGCTCCTGTAGGTGTCCCAGCACTTTTGTCCGTATAGTGTAATTCTCAGACATATTGCTATTTTTATGGTAGTAGTAAGTAGCCAGACAAAACATTTTTGAGTTGATACACTACACTCTCTAGTACATATTTAGGCAGGATTGCCTTCCTTTACTTTTATTTTTAACCGGAGGTCTGTAGATTAGACGCCTGCTGCTCAGCAGGGAAATCCATGACAAGATTCATCAACTGTAAGGATAACATACACCCTTTAGTTCAGTTGTGAATGACCCGAATGTGAAAAATCACAGTAAAGCACTAGGCCACAAAACAAGCCAATAGTTTTGTCTACCTACTTGTGAAACAATGTGACTGAATCTTTATTACAAAACATGACTATTTTGCTATGAGGGAAGCGTAGGGGACATGTGAAGCTGTGTTGCTTTGCTTACTAAAGTTGCTAGCAACAGTAGCCTCACTAAATGAGGGAACTTTTCCACTTGATGTGGTTATGATGCATATCGCAGCATCATCCTACACTGATTTCAAACATGGACATTATTACTGTTGCCTTTAGTTTGTGTAAAAGCAGTAGGAATCATTTACGTTAAATCTGTCTATTCATAATAACCAACAGATAATAGTCTTTGTGATATTTCACTGAAGCACTTTCCAGTCCGTGATGAAAATATTCAGTGTTTTGTTTTGCACATAGTTCTAGCATTTCTTTGTGGGTGTGAGTATTTCCTGTAGTTATGTATACATTTCTGGCTTGTAAGTTTGATCAATAAAACCAATGTGAACTCACTTATTATTGTAGTTTATTAGGCTTGGTTTAAGAAAAGGTTTTCTGTTTGTAGCTCTGGAATATTAACCAGCCAAAATGATAAATGTAACCATCATTACATCTGTGGTAAACATGACAGCCTGCTTCTTACATCAGTGCTGCAGTAGCCTGGAGAGTGAGAGTCCTTGCTTAAAAGATAGCCCCCTTTATGATGCATCATGAAGGTGGAAGTCATTTTTAATGGAAGTGAGTGAGTCATTTTGAGTGGAAGTGCTTTGGGATGGATACCTAGGGGTGGGCTGTTTGAATTTTTTGCTGCCAGCTGACTAATTCAACTGATGTCAACTGAATTTTTTTCATTTTTTCAGAATACAAATATTTCATGTAGTATGTAAAAGATGTTAAAGTTCCAACAACAAACATTTTTGAATTTTGAATTTAATGTTATAGTGATGTTATGAAAAACTAAATAATTTTCACATAAACATGTATTCAGCCCAAACTGGGTTTTAAATGAAGATTGTTAGCCAATCACAAGAAATGTCATATATATATATATATATATATATATATATATATATATATATATATATATATATATATATATATCAGTCTTCAAGGCACAGTAACAAAAGAAGTGTAATTGTTTCATTGTATGGAATACAGAGGTTGGAAAATGGCCAAGTAAAAATGAATTGAATTATTGAATAAAACCACAGAAACCTCATAAGTGTACTCAAATAAAATGAAGGCAAGATCTAAGATATGGATGCTTTAACAAAGAGAAAGTCTGACAGCCAACTGAGGTTCATACTACTCCTAGCTAGCACCAAAGGTGTGTTCATTAGCCACTAGATCAGTGACTAGCAGTCAGGATCTGTTGAGCGTCGTAGGGATTCCCAACATTGTATGCTGTACTTGCGTAATGCATGTTGGGTCTTGTAATGAGAGAACATTGATGGACAAAAACACAGAAATTACATAAAATTGTGAATTTGGTTAAACCAATGAGGCTGAGAGGTGCAATGCTGCAATACAGAATATAACATAAAATATTAAATGCTAGTTTTAAGCAGGCATTCCCCTTTTAGCACTGCATAGTATTTTAATGTGCCAAATAAAGGGTAAGAATTATGTGGGAAGGTATAAAAACAGAAAATAACTGTTTTGGCCTGTTGTGCCCAAAAGCTTTGTTAAGTGGTCATAAATTTAAGAGAGTGGACTGTAATATTTCTAGGCTTAGTTAAATTTCAGTAAGCAGCATGTTTCATGAGTTTTTTAGTTAAGCAGCTCAGATATGTTCACAGTGTATAAGTTGCTATGTGCCACGCCTTCTCATATGTTGTGAAATTCTATTCCAGTCAGCATTGTGTTATAAATGACTACAGAACAGTGAATCATAATAAAACCTAGACCACTTCCACCAAGTCAACACCCCAGGCACAAATATTGAAGTTTCTCACAAGGCGGCAGCACATTGCTAAAATACCAACCGGCACTCGTCTCTAGGCCAGATTCTCTCCTATGTTTGGGCAGTGTCCGGGTCCCGCCACCCTCCAGGTCCTAGAGCTTACCCTTGTGTACTGATGGCCTTATAGGTGGAACGAGCAATCTATGTTGTTATATAAACCAATCCTCATTCCATACTAGTCAGTAATTTAAATTCATACTTCACTGACTCCCTAAATGTAATATTGTGCATGGTGTAGTGTAATATAACAGCGTCAAGGATTTTTTTTCCATTTTTTGTAAATTCAACGGACAATACCATACTCAGATTCTGCTGTCCCATCAGCTCCACTGCTCCAGAACTGCCAGAAAGGGCAGGTCAGTGCTGCCCAGATAGTACAGCTCCTTCTGCTGGAAGACATCACTAATGGCCCACGTCAAGGTGCCTGTTGGGTCATGCAGGCTGTCCAGCAGATCACCGTTAGACCCCAACTCCAGCAGCAGACCATAGGAGGGCAGCAGAGCATCATACCAGCGCAGAGGAATGATCTAACACAGAGACAGATTTTCAACGGATAAACACACAATGTCATATATTTATAGTACAAAACAATTCACTCTGTAGAATCTGGAATTGTTTCAACACTGCATTCCAGTTTCATATGGGCTGCAAATATTAATATTTTTGTGGCCTTATTTTCTCACATAAGAGAACTAGCTTTGTGATTTACTGATCACAAATTCATTCCTTTTTTGAGCATAGTCAATACAAAGTGTCTGGTACTCATTCCACTTATCTATACTACCATTCAAAAGTTTGAAATCAATGTGATGAACCATGACTGAAAACTAGGCCTTCAGTTCAGGCCACAAATGTCAAAACTCGGTCAAAAACAAAGGGGAAAAAACACCTCTATGATAATGCTAATTTCTGCTAGCATTCCTATGGGATTCTAGTAGTAAGGTTACCGCTAAGTTAACAGCGACTCACATTTTTTGGCTGTTCTAGATTAAACACAGCCATTTGAAGCTTGTAAAAGACATTCCATGTTTCATTTGAAGTGTGGGGCAGACATATTAACATATATCTTACTGTTCAGATCAGTATCAGTTCATTAACTTGGCATATAGCTGCTACTGCAGCAGTTCTAAAAACTTGGCTGAAACATACTGGTCCGGCTATCAATCATACTCACAGTCTGTTAGGTACACTATATTGCCAAAAGTATTCACTCACCCATCCAAATCATTAAATCATTGAAACAGTGAATTCCAGCGTGGTACCATGATAGGATGCCACCTGTGCAACAAGTCCAGTCGTGAAATTTCCTCACTACTAAATATTCCACAGTCAACTGTCAGTGGTATTATAACAAAGTGGAAGCGATTGGGAACGACAGCAACTCAGCCACAAAGTGGTAGGCCATGTAAAATGACAGAGCAGGGTCAGCGGATGCTGAGGCGCATGGTGCGCAGAGGTCGCCAACTTTCCATCGCTACAGACCTCCAAACTTTATGTGGCCTTCAGATTAGCTCAAGAACAGTGCATAGAGAGCTTCATGGAATGGGTTGCCATGGCCGAGCAGCTGCATCCAAGCCTTACATCACCAAACACAATGCAAAGCGTCAAATGCAGTGGTGTAAAGCGCCGCCACTGGACTCCAGAGCAGTGGAGACATGTTCTCTGGAGTGACGAATCACGCTTCTCCGTCTGGCAATCTGATGGACGAGTCTGGGTTTGGCGGTTGTCAGGAGAACGGTACTTCTCTGACTGCATTGTGCCAGGTGTAAAGTTTGGTGGAAGGGGGATTATGGTGTGGGGTTTCTTTCAGGAGTTGGGCTCGGCCCCTTAGTTCCAGTGAAAGGAGCTCTTAATACTTCAGCAGACCAAGAGATTTTGGACAATTTCATGCTCCCAACTTTGTGGGAACAGTTTGGGGATGGCCCCTTCTTGTTCCAACACAACTGTACACCAGTGCACAAAGCAAGGTCCATAAAGACGTGGATGAGCAGGTTTGGTGTGGAAGAACTTGACTGGACTACACAGAGTCCTGACCTCAACCCGATAGAACACCTTTGAGATTATTTAGAGTGGAGACTGCAAGTCAGGCCTTCTCGTCTAACAAGAATGGTTAAAAATTCCCATAAACACGCTCCTAAGCCTTGTGGAAAGCTTTCCCAGAAGAGTTGACGCTGTTATAGCTGAAAAGGGTGGGCTGACATCATATTAAACCCTATGGATTAAGAATGGGATGTCACTGAAGTTCACATGCATGTGAAAGCAGACGAGCGAATACTTTTGGCAATATAGTGTATCTAGAACTTCCAGAAGGCCTAGAGCAGTGGTTCCCAGCCCTGGGCCTGGACTACTCTCTGCCCTGCACATTTTAGTGTTTGTCCTGCTCCCAACACCTGATCCAAGTAATCAGCTAATCAGCAAGTCTTTCCTGAGCTGAAGTAGGTATGTTAGAGCAGGAAACCACAAAATAATGTGCAAGCCAGGGGGTACTCCAGGACCAGAGTCAGGTTAGGGTTATGGTTAGTGTTGTCCCCCAAACCTGTCCCACCCATTGAAAATCAAACATGATTGGCTAATTCCTCTGCCTCTTCTTCATTATGCTAGTGGTTAATCTGACACATCAGGACTTAAGTTCAGCTCCTGAAGACTTAACCAGTGGAAGAGCTAGCTTGTCTGTATCTATTTAGATACCACTGTGGGGGAAAAGGGCTTATTAGGCAATTTTCTATTGGGTGTTTCAAGAATTTAACACCTTTGTTTACAACCAAAACATAACAAAGAAATAACAGTATTACTAAAATACCTGCAGAGTTTAAAAACAATAAGCATGATGATTATATTAAATAAAAAAAAATAAAAGTTGTATATTTTTATTTTACAGAAATCCTTGAGGGTTCCCCTCTGATCTTTAATAATCGAAAACCAATTTGGTTGCAAAGAAATGCATAAATAATTCTCATATGCTAGTCCTGTGCAACTTCACAGTTTTCAAATAATTAGTAGCAAGTTGCAAAAACTAAAATAAGACCTTTTTTTATATGTGTCCAGAATGATGAAGGGAGCCATAGAAGATTCTACAATGACTGATAAAGCTGTATAACATCCAGGATAAAGTTCTTCTTTCTTCAAATTCCTCATATTTCAAACTGGTAGAAAAATACTTTGACAAAAAAGGTAAATAAATAATTCCAGTAATTGATTTATTATTTAATAACCTCTTGTTCATCTCTAAATACTTAAAATATTGAAGGAAACATCTAAAAATACCTTTCAGCGTCTAGTACGCTGTGTATTTAGATACAATAAGTAATTTTTGTACATAAAATAACTAATAACTAATAAATATATAAATGTGACAAGTGATTAAAACCTTTTGAATGGCAGTATATTTTTGTCAGCAATTTTGTGCTGTAAATAAATGTATCCCAGTGTACTCTGCTTCTACAGGTAATGTTCTGATTGGAATGTGTCTTGGGTTTTTTTCACCTGCTGAGTTATTGGGTTCCTGGCTGTGACAGACTAGAGAAGCAGTGTAGAACACAGAACAGCAATGACATCATTTCACTCATGCCTTCAGATACTAAGTTAACAAACTTTTAACCTAATTAGTTATGTAGAAAATTGTGAGTCAGACTTACTTAAAGTAATACTGCTAACATAAAGAGATCTTTTACTTGAAGGACTTCTCAAATGGCCTGAGAGATATTCTGTTCAGAGTCAGCAAACAGCAGTGCGAGACTCTTTTGTTTACTGCTGTAATGAATGGAGCGCAGTGCTGTTGACGTGAGAGATTTAACAGAAGTGTCACTCCTCCTTGTCCTAACAAATCTCCACCCACACCATGTTTTCTTTGCAGTTTTATGCGCCCCTCCCCTCATGAACCACCCCTACAGTACTAACTGTGGCTATTTTAAAAGCCTAAAAGACATTCAACATACATTCAACAACAGACTGTTAAAAAGTTTGTAATCAGTTGTTATATTAAGAAATGCTGTTATTTTGTTCAACAATAACTTATATAATATACACTGCAATAGGCTTTACTAAGCTAGACATTAGAAGGTATTATTTTATTCAAAGCTGTTTGGAAACGAGTATTAAATGATAAATGATATACTGTAATTATTTATTTATAGCAAATTCCTGTCAAGTTAAAGCTGCACTTTGTATGCTTGGTGACCTCTCTGGTGAAAATGTGTAACTGCAAGCAATGAGAACATTTTGGAACGTCGGCTGGGCTTTAGACCCCTTCCCCAAGTGGATGAATCTGATGATTGCAAGCTGTCAGAGAGAAGACAAAGAGAACTCTTCTGAAGACTGAATGATCTACTAGGATCTACTATTGTCATCATCAGATTCAACATTTGAGATCAGATTTTGCATTTGAGACCTGAATAATACATAATATGTATCATATAATAATACATAAAGACATATGACATGGTCCATAAAGCTCTTGTGAAATCCAACTCAACACCTCTGACTTCAAATTATTATATAAGGCTTTACAGGGTGACTCAAAGCAGCACACAGACACCATATTTAGTGTGTTTTTTTCTCCTAACTCAATAATGCTACTTTCAATTTTGGCAAAAAAAATCTTACATAGTGCAGCTTTAACTTAGATATGTTCTTTTCCAAGACAAGTCATTATGGATGTTAACTTTATTATAACTATTTTTGGAGTTATACTGCTTTCTCAATTATTATGGGATCATCTACTGCTGTGTCCATCATTCTGGGCATGTCTAAACTTTCTGATTTTTTTACAGCTTCCTACAACTTAAAACCGATAAAGCTGTAGAGTATCAACATTATATCACAACCATTTATCCACGTATCTGCGACAAATTAGTTTTATATTATTGAAATCAATGAATCCAAATGTTTGAGTGACAATTCCAGACTTTTGAACTGTAAAGTACATTCTCATGACGACCTGACATGGCAAACAGACATGACATAATAGTACTATCCAAGACAGAAATAGTGAAGTTTTCTCTTTATTGACCTTGACCACAAAGCGCTTGAGTGCAGGATAGGGTCCAAGCAGGTCCAAGAAAGGTGGGAACAGTCGGCCACGGAAGCGGACAGTGTTGATACCCACCAGGAAAGTGCCACGGTCACTGACCCGGATGTTGTCTGGATAACCAATCATGTTGCTCAGGACAGTCTCCTTTGTGCCAGCTTTAGGTCCCTTCAACCAGAATCTAAGAGAGAAGAATAGAGAGGAAACTTAATTTAATCATTTCACAATCAGTGTTAATGTCTTCCATATTTTTCTTCAAGCAATATTATAAGAACAAATACTTATCCACTTTATTATTGTGCCCTATGATGCTTTGAGTGACTTAATTATAGACAGAACTTTCAGCAACATGTAAACAGACAATATGTAAAATGCTAATAATATTCTAACATGATAGAAACGTAAATAAATAAAAATGTTGACAGAAACTTGAACTTGCGTGAGAGAAATACTTTAGATGATTCTGTTTATAACCTACAACAATTACTATCATTACATAGCATTGATTAATGTAGAAATGTATTAATATGCTTAAGTTTAACAAAAAAGTGCTGTGATACTGCTCATTTGTGCTAGTGACCCTGGTATTTTCACCATGGTATGTTAGCCTCAAACTAGCAGAGTTAGCTTGGCACTATACTGGATTTTGATGTTAGCTCTAGTTAAGTTCAACTGGCATTTCATCATCTGGTTGGATTTAATGAGAGCAGATTTCAACTATAACAACTAGGCTTTCTTAAGGAGTCACTATGAGGCCACATTGTCTTCTGAAACACTGAACTGTCTTGATATGTTCATGCTTGTAAGATTTTTCTGGCCGTACTTTCATCTTCACTCAGCTGTAGTGTCGGCTGCAAACTGTATGTTGTCCTGTAGAATTGTAGAATTGTAGAATGCCTCAGAAACATTTAATGGGACATGCAACAATAACCAGATAACTTAAATAGTAAGCACACTTTCTTTTACTTTGCTAAAAACAGTGATGAACAACACTTCCCCTCTCAGCTGGATATTTTGGTCATAATCTTGAAATACAGTGCTCATGTGAAAAACAGGGTAGATAAACAAATATTTACAAATGTAGGCCTAAAATTAGGTGAGGTGAAATGGCATTCCTCAGCTTCAACGATTTGACAAAATTCACAATTTTATATCATCTTCATGTTTTCATTCATCACCTTTCTACACTACAACACCCAGCATGCATTTAGCAAATACATCATACAACCACTAGGAATCCCACTGCTAGCTAAGCCACTGAGTTATAGGCTAATATACAACCAAGCTACTGTAACTCTTATCAAGGTCGTCACATCTATCTTTATTCAGCACAGGTTGGACACTAGAGACAAGGTTTTTACCCCCTAAGCCAAAGAAAAGAAACCAAACTGAGGTAAGTGGATTGCCAAGTAGCTACCTTGCTAACTTTAGCTTTTAGCTTGTTGTAATCTATTGTCTCTTTTGTAATAATGATTTGAAATGTGTTATCACAAATAAACAGCCGCAATATCTAGCAGTAACACTAGCTATGAGGCTTCTTTCTGCTATTTGCCAAAAAGAAAAAATAATAATAATAAATCAAACAGCCCATACTTAAAAATTCACCCCAAATGTTTACAAATGTAACAATTTTTTATTTTGGCCAGAGTGTCTCTTTAACAGTAAAGACCCTGAAAAACCCTCTGTCAGTCTCAAACAGTAATTACATTGTGGTGGCTGCCACTTGCAGGATCTGTGGCTTTTGTTGACCTTCCCCCTGAGTTTGGCTGTAGGCAGTGGCATTTTCTACTGTTTCTTTAAAAAAAGAGCACATTTTAAGCCGAAATGTTGGCCTTCCCTGACTGTTCTTCCTCCACAATATGGCACGTTCACCACAGCTCAAATGTGCAATGCTGAATCACAATTGTCACAGATGAAAGTCAGCAGTGTTTCTTAAAGGCTTTGTTATTCAAAGTGTTGATACACCTGCCATTACCTGCTGATGCAGCCTATGCTGGTCTCAGCCAGCAGCAAAAAGTCCTCATCAGCAGAGAACGCAAAGCCATTGGGCATATAAAGAGAGTCCAGCAGGGTCTGAACACGGCCTGACTCAGTGTCATAAGAGAGAAGACGACCCAGGTGGTTGGTTTCTAGCACCTACAGGAGATACGATAATTTAAAAAAATAAATACATTTCAGAAAATAAAGTACAGAAAGATAGATTATGATCTATAGGTAAAGTTCATCTCTGTGATTTCAATTTCAAGAACATACATACACAATTAAACCTGGAAAGATAATTTAAGAGAAATTTTCTTACATTTAAATTGAAACATCATCAGGCTCTGTCACTGTTATCACTGAAAGATCATATTTTGGTTTGAAGCTGCAGAAAAAATATTGGACCAGTATCTTTTCATAGCCAAGTATGTGTACGGCTCCTTGTTAACGTAGCACTGTCAGTTGAGATCACTTACAAGCTTACAAAATGTTCTTACACTGGATCAAACATTATTCTCTGAACAATAAGCATTGCAGAAACAGGCTGCATGAAGCTAGCCTTTATTTTTGAATTAGACTAATGTCTTTTCATGGACAATTCTAAGTAAGTACCTGTAATGCTCCATTATCAACCACAAGGTGACACTGTAGCACAAGTAATCTATTTGACATATCAACTGAGAGAAAGTTAATATAAATTACTGCTTATTTGTATGAAACGGGTAACAGTTTGTTGTTCATTAGTCCTGTAAATTATGCAATGGATAGAACAAAGCACCAAAAAGCAATTCCATCTATAACGTCCAATGACATCTGTCAAAGGAACTCATTGGAGGAGACCTTGACTCTGATTTGGCTCAGAATTTTGATAAAAAATTATTTGGCTTACTCTTGCTGTCCGACACTGACCTCGTAACGAACATGCCGTCTGCCCCATCTGCTGCTGGAGTCAGTGAAGAACACTGTTCCATTTTTAGAAATCTCCAGCCCATTCAGAAAGCCAAAAGGGATCCCATCAGCACCTTGGAAAAGAAATATATTAATGTTATGATGTTATATTGCTACTCTATTGGTCATTAAATACACTCATGCTGACTTATTGTCAGGGTCAGCCATCTAAACATTTTTTACTTTTAGGAATAAATCACTGGCTCATATTGACTGAACCTAGATATCTGAATTAAAGAAGAATTCTACTGATTTTTCCAAATTTGTATATAATTCAATCAATGAAGTGCAAACATATTTATTTAGAGTACTTTGGTGTGAAATTGTCAAGAAGCTTACTGACTCTGATTTCTTTACAGTGGTAGTGATAGGAACCACAGATCATGATGTCCACAGTGTAAATATAGCCATTTCTTTGCTATGCAAAACCACCAGTGAACCTACATGTCATCTTCTATCTAATGCTGATGAATGGTGATGATGATGAATAGTGTAAAAGTTTTATAGGGGGCTATTTGCCTCCTGCATGTACCTCGCCGCCATGAGTGGATTTTTTTTAAAAACAGCGTCTCAGGCATTAGGCAGTGTATTCATCACAATTTTATATAACTCTCTGTGAGGGAGGCATTTCTGTGTTTTAGAGGCATTAAACACTTCAAATGTTTGCTTGCTTTCACAATCAATGTGAACAATTCTGACTCGGTAAGTCTCTCTACAACAGAGCATTTCACATCAAACCACTCTGAACAACTTTGTTTACATCTCAACCAATTAATGAAACAAATCAGTGGAATTCCCCCTCAAATGTTCTTAAAGAGGTAAAGCAGACGAAGTATTTTGCGTATGGGTAGCTTCAGCACCTGCCCACTGGCTTCTATTTTAAATGTTTTCAGTCAACATGTTTACTGTTCTTTTCTAAGAAAACACAAAGCAAGTTAAAATTATTGTCTGTGGTAATTGACTATATGCTACAGATGCAGCAGATATAGAATACTGAAAACTACTGGAGTATTCCTTTAATCTTTTCTCCTGAGGCCCACTTATGATGTTTGTGTGGCTTTATGTGTTTAAAACAGTCAGGATTCATTTTTATGTTGCCATTTCCCAACATCTCTTTACAGAATTTTTAATTTTTAGAACTAAACAGACTGGTTTTGTTACTGTGTCTTTAAGACTTGTATATGTAAATTAGCTCTGTTCTGATTGGCCTCCCTGTACTGTCTTCTTTCAAAATGTAATCTGAGCTGAAACACTTCTTTTAACTTCGGTGTGAATGTGTGGGGCTAAACTGCTGTAACCTGAAAAGATGGATTTTTGTCACTTCAGTCTGAAAAAAGTGAATTCAGAAAGGGTTTTTGTTGCAACTTGGTCTCCATACAATGACTGTATAGACTGGGAAGTGAATGACACACTTCAGACTTTAACAATGTTTTCATATGATATCAAACTCAAAAAAAATGATGAGGAAACTTCAATTTTTCATTATATAGGCCCTTTGAAGCTTAAGCACCTTCTTTGCTTGAATGTAGCAGGGTCTTCTCTCCAGTCAAGGGGTCCACCTTAAACAAGCCAAGGTATGAGTCGGCCACTATAAGCTGTCCATGGGGGTCCAGGCGCAGCCCATGTGGGCGTCCACACACAGGCTCATAGTCCATGCTTGTGCCTGCAGAGGTTAGAATGCAAATGAGCAGAGAAAGAACTCAATAAGCACAGACACTCAGTGAACTGAAGACCAAATTATAATATCTTTAACCAGAGAAGGTCTTGCTAGGCGGTTGCAAAGGTGTCCCAGGTGGTTGCTAAGGTGTTGTTCAGTGGTTCTATAGTAGCCCAGGTGGTTGCGAAGATGTTGCTAGGCAGTTGCTATGGTACCCCAGATGATGGCAAAGATGTTCATAGGTGACTGCAATCCTAGAAAGTTGCTAAGGTGTTGATTAGCAGTTGCTAGTGTCCAGGCGGTTTCTAAGGTGTTGCTAGGCAGTTACTATGGCATCCCAGGTAGTTGCTAATGTTTAGCTAGGCAGTGGCTACGGTGTCCAAGGTGGTTGCTAAAGTGTTGTTAGGCGGTTGCTTTGGTATCCCAGGTGGTTCATAACTTGTTGCTAAGAAGTGGCTATAGTGTCCAAAGAGGTTGCTGAAGTGTTGGAAGGTGGTTGCGAAGGTGTCCAAGCTGGTTGCAGAGGTGTTTCTAGGCAGTTGCTATGGTGATTTTAGGTGGTTGCAAAGGTGTTGCTAGGCGATGGCTAGCTTTTCCCAGGTCATAGCTAAGGTGTTGCTAGGCAGTTGCTATGGTGTCCAAGGTGGTTGCTAAAGTGTTGTCAGGCAGCTGCAATGGTTTCCTAGGTGGTTGCTAGGTGTTGCTAGGCAGTTGCTATGGTATCCCAGGTGATTGCAAAGGTGTTGTTAGGCCGTTTCTATGGTGTTGCAGTCGGTTGCTGACATGTTTCTAAGTGGTTGCTATGGTGTCCAAGGTGGTTGCTAAGGTGTTGCTAGGTGGTGGCTATGATGTCCAAGGTGGTTGCTAAGGTGTTGCTAGGAAGTTGCTATGCTTTCCCAGGTGGTTGCTAAGGTGTTGCTAGGAAGTTGCTTTGGTGTCTCATGTGGTTGGTAAGGTTTTGCTAGGCAGTTGCTCTGGTATCCCAAGTGGTTGCTAAGGTGTTGCTAGGTGGTTGCTCTGGTATCCCAGGTGGTTGCTAAAGTGTTGCTAGGCAGTTGCTATGGTATCCCAGCTAAAGTGTTGCTAGGAGGTTGCTATGGTTTTTCAGGTGGTTGCTAAGGTGTTGTTGGTGATCGCTAAGGTGTTGCTAAGAAGTTGCTTTGGTGTCTTAGGTGATTGCTAAGGTGTTGCTAGGCAGTTGCTATGGTATCCTAGGTGTTTGCTAAGGTGTTGCTAAGCAGTTGCTATGGCATTCCAAGTGGTTGCTAGGGTGTTGCTTGGCGGTTACTAGGGTATCCCAGGTGGTTGCTGAGGGGGTGTGTGTGTGAAAAGTGTGTTGAGTTTGGGGTGTATAGAGTGTGTGTGGTGTGGAGGGTTTGGTCTGTGTGGTTTGTTGAGTATGTAGTGTATGTGTGGTGTGTTGAGTGTGTGTGATGTGTTCAGTGCGTGGACTGTGTGTGGTGTATAGAGTGTGCGGTGTGTAGTGTGTGTAGTGTGCGTGTGGTTTGTGATCATGATGTAAGAACAGTGTCCAAAACATTTTGTCTACTGTGTGTTTACTGACTGTGGTGAAATAAAGTTTGTTGCATTATCATATAGTACATATAGTGTGAAAAAGTTTTAGTCCCCTGAGCTCTTGTCTATGGAAAATCATTGTATTGGTTCTAAAAGCACAAGCACGCACAGGTTTGGTGCTTCTAGGTCATAAACTGTAGGATGAGAAACTTTTTACATTTTGAACGTGGAATAATAATAATAAGAAGAAGAAGAAGAAGAAGATAATAAGATGATTAAGAAGAACAGTAAATTGGCTTTTCCAAGCCAATTTAATAAATGATTTCATTGATTCTTTTGTTGCTGATATAAAAATTATTCTGATCAATCAAGAAGGGCTGGCTCTAGCATTGTTTTACATGCTTTGTATACTTGCCAGTATTTCCAACGAAGTACCTGCATGCTCATTCTCTAAGCTGCTCTTAAAAACAAAATTTACATTTTATAATTAACCATAATTTGAGCATGTTTATTACTGTAGTTCAAAATATATATAAATAACCAAATATATATCCAAGATGTGTTCTGAGGCAACAAAACAGACCATTTAATCAACATTTCAGTCCACACCAACTGCGGTGTCTTACATATGATGCATCAATGCATCATGTATCCTGATGCATTTTTCATGTCTATTTTACAGCGTTCTAAACTGTATTGAAATAGTATTTACTAAAATGATATGATCTTGTTGCCAAGCAGCTCCTGAGCTGTACTAACAGTGTGAGGGCTGCTCTTCTCTGATACCAACAACAGTAAAAATGTGTGATTGGGATTTTGTCCCTTTAAACAGATGCTGTTTGTGCTGTCAAGTATTAAACCTGCCATAAAACTCTTAAACTAGAAAAGAAAAGGAGAAAATAGAGCTTATGTTTCCACCTAAAGTGGTTATGCGATAGAGCTGAGTCTAACAGTATTCAGATAATGATAACTGTACTGTAATTGGCTATTTGAGATGATTCATCAAACTTGTTGTGCCTCCACGGTGTACCAGCCTCTTATCTAACATTTTACATTCTTCCTACCATCCAAAAATTTAAAGTGCTCCCACTCTCTAATTATTTTAGCTTTAATGGTAACAAGGAAAGTGGTTGCAGAAGTTTTTTTTAATTTTATAATTTTCCAAATATTAACACTAACTGTTCGATCTAAAGCAGGGCTTCCTATAGTGTGGCCTACAGGCCATCGTAGGTCCATGAGGACATTTGATTTGGCCCAGCAGAAGGTTACTTAAACCCCAACCCCTCACCCAACAACTCTTATTTTGGGTTTTAAAAAATTGTATTTTTGCGGTATTTTAGCAACTCAATATAGTGTAGTATTATAAAACACATTAGAAAACAGAAACTATCAGTATAACTAATATTAGTATATATAAACTACAGGGAGATTCACTTGAAAGAGGCCCTGAACATTCTTTTGTAACTCCCATTAGGATGAAGCAATCTGAACCAAAAATATGCTGCATACCTTGACGTATGTGTAATCAATTGCATTACATGCAATGCTGGAAGTGATCTCTGTTTTCTGCCAGACACATGAAGGGGTACAGGGGTAACGGAGGTTAAACATTGCGACCTGTCCGGTGCCTACCTCATCACTCCGACGCAGGGGGATCCTTTATTAGTTTATTGCTTTGTCATTGTGGCCCTCAGCCCACCACAAACATTGCACTGATCTAAAGACTCCTGCTGATGAAATTTATTGGATTGTTCAACATAACAAATACTGATTATTGAAAATTTCAAATTGTTCAGGCCAGCCATACAAAAAAGCAGCGTGAACTATTTCTAAAACTTATTAACCAACTTTATCAGTCACTTTCAAAATGCTCAAATTTCTGAGGACCAAAGCGAAGCCTAAAGGAACAGTCATTTAAGCTAAAGCAACTGCCCATTGACGTCTATTGTAACCGTACAATACAGATGCGCCAGATAGAGATTATGTTGAAAAATGCTGAAGTATTCCTTTCAGCTGTAGTGAAGACATCTCCACTGCAGTTTTCTCTGAATTGCCAAGCCTTTCATAAAACAAGTGGATCTTTGTGAATCACATGGCCATGTCTAATGCACTTTGGCAGGAAGACAAAGGGGCTGTTCGAGATTTAAGACACTCGTTCAGCTCATACACTTTTATCCAGGATCCTGGATACACGATCTGATGACAAAAGGAGGGGTGCAGCATACAAAAGGCTGGCTAAGCCCAGCCCCACAGCCACTGCTGGACTGCATGTGTTTTTATGTGAAGTCTATGAGAAGTAAAGTTTGTGTTTAAAAGTCTCCAGTGCTGCTTGTGAGCAACAACTCTCACCACATTCTGAAAGATTCTGGCCCATCTGAGTGATGAAAGTGAGGGTATCGTTGGTGATCCTCCAAAGCTTCCCATCAACTGTGCCTGTGTACACGTTACCTGCGAGAGATGGTCAGGTAGTGTTGTATAATGTACTGAAGGTTTAAAGCTTTTTTAATCCTACAATGTGGTAAACAATTCAATACTCTTTGAGGAGAACTGTGGGTAAATTAACAAGCCAGTTCACCGCAAAACAAGATGTAATGTAGCGCTAAGAGAGAGAGGGGATACATTTGGCTACAATACACTACTGCATTCATGTGGCTTTTATGTTCAGGTTCATGTGAAAATAATAATACTGAATTACTGAAAGTAATACATGCATTCTGATAAAGTCACACTCATATCTATAACAATAGGCACTGCTTTTTAAATGGAAAAAGGGTACTTTAGGATCAAATTAGAGCAAAATTTGGCTCATTATTAACCACACAAATTAATGCTTGATCACAATTCATTGTTTTAATCACTTGACAGCCTTATATTACACTTGGTATTGTACTGAAAGTCTAAACTCTGGGCAGATATTATTCCACACATGTGACACAGTCACATACACAGCAATTACCATTCTTGTCTGCAGTGAAAGACTCTGGGCCTTTCAGCTGTCCAGCAAACAGCCTACGTCCTCTTTGTAGCCTCGTGTTGACCGCCAGAGGACCCTCCAGGGCTGGCGGTGGCCCCTCAAATCTAAAGCAAGTGAATGCAGAACAAAGCACTTCACCATACTAAGCCAAAATGCTGTCAGTATTTCAGATCTGTTTGGATATATACAGTACTAGTCAAACATTAGGACACACCTACTGAAGAAGGTTTTCATTATTTTTACTATTTTCCACATTTTAGAATAACAGTGACATCATACAGTAACACATATGGAATTAAACACTGACCAAAATGTCTTAGACAAATCAAATTTTCCTCTATTTCAGACTCATCAAAGTAGCCTCCTTTGTCTTGATCTGTCTTTGTCTCAGTACACTTTTGGTGTTCTCTCAAGCAGCTTCATGGGGAGCCACCTGAGACTCAGAGACTCACTGCTGAGCAATTGCTTGCTGGTTGCTGAAAACTGTTTGTTTAATTAAAAAAAAAGTCACACTACTTTTTCAGTGAGGCACAATACAGCGCAGCCAATAGTCATTCACAAATATCAATTTTAAAGATTAAGGCTGTGTTTAAGATTAACAGGTAAGGGATTAACAGATTATAAGGGATATAGAGAGTTTATAAAACGATCCTGTTTTTGGTACATAAACCCACACAGACGTCATAAGTGGTCCTCAGGAAAAACAAATAAAATTTGAATGTAGGATATGGCAGCTTTAAAGAAACCTACATATGTCACATGACTTACATGTATGGCTCAGGTTCAATGGGTGAAGGAATAAGATAGACACCAACGACAATAGCCAGTAACACAACCTTCACAGCCTGCTTTCCAGTCCTGAAGAAACAAAGAAAACACTTAAACAGGAGAAATACTGAAGGTTTGTGTTGAGGGTGGAAAATAAGGTAATATTACATACATTATTAAAAAAAAACAATACAATACAATACAAATTATACACACACACACACACACACACACACACACACATACATATATATATATATATATATATATATATATATATATATATATATATACACACACACACACACGTGTGTGTGTGTGTGAACAGATCACTGAAGCAGTTCCTATATGACATAAGGGGAAAGACTCTCACACTTCTACTTCAGCATTTCATTTCATGCAGTACAAAAATAACACGCCTGAACTTCATCTCGAAAGAGTCTGTGTGTAGCTGAAACAAGCTCAGAAAGTCCGATTTTAAAGCCAGTGATCAGATTTTCAGCACTTACATGACTGTAGAAGCGAACTCTTAATCCGAGCTGCTGAGTTCAGCTGTGAAAACTTCAGAGTCTCCGGGCGCCATGAAGCACTGAGCGGATCCACACCAGCAGGGGGCGCTGTGGTGAAAGCGCTGATCGAGAGCGAATTCAGTTCATTTTTTAAAAGCATATACTTGTTTTTTTTTTGTTTTGTTTTTTTTTGTTTTTTTGGTGTAAGTAATTCTAGAGGACGCAAAATCCAGCCTTGTAGTCATTTTCTAGAAATTATCATCTATCAGTTTAACATCGGCTCTGCACTACTAACGTTCACTACACAGCAACAAATATTTCTCATGGATTTCATACTGTTTGTCAGCTTTACTGTCAATGACAGTACAAACATCTGACAGATGACTCCACAGTACAGACGCTATTACAGCAGATGACCAATAGGTGTCCCCACATCACCACAATTATGCTTTAACGGACACTGCAGCACGAAATATTATGCAGTACTCGCAGAAACATAAAATGTGAAAACTTAAAATGTTTCTCTCACTTTTTTCATTCTAGCTTATTATATTAGGTCTGATGGTGGGTAAGTCAGTAGCTTGCGACCAAATTTCTGCCTGAATGACCAGCTGGACAGATGTCTGCGTTCATGTCTTTTACCTATAAATTAATGTTAATTCATACAATCAGAAACAAAAAACAAGCCACGACACAAATGAGAATTTGTGAAACAATTTCAATTTTATTCAATGAAACCAAGTCATTAACCAAAAAGGCCTCAATTGGTAACAACTTTATGCTGAAACAGTTCCCTACAAAAATAAACCTGTATCAGCCAACATCACAAATAGCATCACATGCTGCTTGTGGTGACGGTATCCTGCTCTTTTTGCAAGTCCACTTCACAGTACTGACCCCTCTGAGCCATTTACCAAATCCCAAAACATCTCTGAACAGATTTCAGCTTTCTGGATTGGACAAAATCCTGAAATATCCAAGGAAATACCCCAAATTTCAGGATTTAGGTTCAAATCCAAACTGGCCCTGAGGTCTCCTTTAAACGCAATGTTAAGTAAGTAGACTCCAAAATGTTCTAGCACAGTCTGTAGGGCAAACCTGCAAAACATGGAACAAAGCCACATTGAGATTTGTATGTGAACAGTTTTGGCAAATTGAGAGTATGTAGGTCAAGAACACCTTTCAGTACGATCAGTCACGTGCTGGTAAACAACCATTTTAACAACACTGGCCAGTGATGTCCTTCACAGCCAGAAAGAATATGCATGGATTAATATAATGCATGCATTTATATATGAAATTCCTTTAGTAGTACTCACACATACCCACAGCCTTTAACGTAGGCTTGAATAACATGCTAAGAAAACGTGATGCAGTTGGAACGTTCACAGTCTTGCTCTACCAAATGGGCTATGGAAGCTTTTTGCTCTTTAAAATCAAGTTTAGGAAAAAATTAATTCCACAGAACATGCCTAAGCCTTCACTGAATAAAATATATAGTTACTGTTATACAACTATGAAAGATAATAAGCATTCAAAGCAGACAAAAATAAAAGATATTCCCTGATTACAATGTAAAGTGCCCAAAACTCTTTTTAACGTCTAAATCCTTACTGTTGCCCTGTGTGACCCTCAGTCATAACCTAATAATACTGGAGTTACAGAGCGACGGGACTATTACTATCAATGGCTTATTGATTCAAAACTCCTGCAACAGTTACACATTTCATTCTAAATCATATTCAACCCAGTGTTTACAAGTCAATGTTGCCACGGTGAAGCTTTCTAACAGGCTAGATACAGATTAACCTAAGTTCAGATGAGGTGTACAGACTCTTTGCACCAGGCAAGATTTCTAAATTTTAAATTAAATTATACATTTTTTTCATTAGATCTTTGGTTAAACAGGAAACAAATACAACAAGATAGTAAAAGCAAATAAATTGTGTCACCAAAAAAAAAACAAAAAAAACCTTGACATAGATGAGCTACAGGACAAAGTAAAAATGCTATTACAGCAGATGACCATAAGGTGTCCCCACATCACCACAATTATACTTCAATGGACAATGCAACACAAACTATTATGCAGTACCCATCAGAAAACCATCATGCAGTACTAGCAGAAACATAAAATAAAATATGTATACATATTAAAGAAATCAACCACTGATACACAAGTATCATTTAACAAACTTAACATGGTGTAAATGTTAACCTTAACAAAATAGCATAGCTCGATGACCGACCGTCCGCTCTTAAGACACTTCTTTTGCTGAAATCTGCATAGATTACTACAGTTACTACAGTATATTTAACAGCATCTGAAAGAGCATCAGAGGAGAAATACAGGTATATCATACAACGTGTCTGTCCAGATCAAGAAAATTACAGCACTTGCATACACGAGGGTATTTTATAGTATCAGGATTTCTCAGTTTAGCTAGATAACAAAGGAATACTCCAGTGATTTTAATCTAATGTCTATCTGCGCATGTGTAGTGTGCAAGCAATTACCACAGACAGTTATTTCAATTAGTTCAGCTGAACAGAAAGCCTACTGATTCAAAACACATTTCAAAGTCAATGGGCAGTTGCTTCATCGCCTTCTATTTTTAAAATCTTAAAATCTCTGGCTCACTGAAAAAATCTTGCTTTGTGAAAACCCTCAGTGGTGGTTTATATATAGAATATGATGCTTCATATCCTGAATGGCAAGCACACATGTACAGTACTGAACAGACAGCTCTTCAACAGCTGCGGATGAAATGTAGGCCTAATAGCAGAGTGGCCCAACCCCATTTCCTCAGCCTACACCTTAAACAGTGGGGCACAGATCCTCCAGCAAATGACTATACAGCCAACCTTCTCTCTCTTTAATGCCTTTTTAGAACTACACCGATTACGTCCCTCCCTAAAGCCAGTGCCTAACAACACTGGCTTTGTTCCTGATGCTTATCTCTGTTAAAGGCTCCGATCACGAGAGCATATTTAACTTAATGACCCGCAATGGAAGCACTCTGTCATTTGTTTACAAGGGACGCCAGTCACCAACAAAGACAAGTCCGGCTCTGTAGATAGCAGAGGTCAGCTCCAACACAAGCTCCGCACTAACTCAGTTTGTTCCCACATCAACGTATGACAGTTCCTCTAAATGTGTTTCAACTTCCTCTAAACCAATAAGTGAACTTCCTGCAATCGTTTCTTCTCCAGTGACAACGTGCCCTACTCCATCATGTTCTCTCTGAATTCTGAAGACCTCCAAACAGCTTCAGTCTTAAAGTCTGACCAACGTACTTCTGATACTTTCTACTGCCAAGCATTTCTTTTAGTAGCCATTTCATGCATTTTCTATCAGTGATTAGGCCTTTGTCTACACATCCTTTCTTCCTTCTTCACAGTTTTCCTTACAGTCTCAAATCACTTGAGACGCAACATGTCCAATATTCCTTCCGGATCTCCATCACTGTAATCTTCCATTGAAAGACAAATAGTGCATCAAAGCATGCTATTTAGTCTGATACATCACATGGAATAATTTAACCAAACCGGTAATACTAACACTGACAGTGGAGCCTCTATTTTCCTCTGTTCCTGCTTGTACATTCTGATCTAGAAACAACTTTACTGTGACTAAACAGACATTTAACCATTTACCCATGTCTCAGGACAGCAGCTAAGGCTGTATCCCACCAAAAAAATAAAATAAAATAAAATAAAAAAAATCAGCCACAGACTTGCCAACCATGCATGCCAGCTTAATTTACTCTTTGGTACGGGAGCATTGTGAGTCAACAGTACCTACCATTACTGCCAACACCTCCATTCATTCGGCCATCAATTTGGATTGTTGCTATGCTTCTTTAAAATAAAATAAGACTCTTTTTTTAAAAAATAAAGATAAAAAAAAGAACAAAAGCTTCACCCACATAAATTAAAAACAATGAACAAGAAATATGTACAAACCATAGTATCCACCAATTAAATAAAATAATCAGACAGATCAGATTCTCAGGCTTGCATCGTTCGCAAGTTCAAGAGGTAACTAAACAGAAAAAAAAATACAAACAACCACAGATACTAACAAAAAACCCAACAATCTTTGAAGGAGAGAGCGCGCGAGAGAGCAGAGTTGGGAATATGGCACTAAGAGTGCATTCTGAGAAAGCATGTAGAATCTCATCATGTGTGCTCTCTGGAGGGCAGAGTTTTTAGAAGTCCTCCACCTCATTCTCTGTGCCTCCAGAGGGAGCATTCCTGGAGTCCTCTAAAGCAGTTCTCTCTCTCTCTGTGAGAGATGGTGTTAGTCAGGGCTGCTGGCTGCTCGGATCGCTTCCTCCAGCTTTTCTCGATAGGTGTTGTAGCGGGTGGTTATCACACGAACCTGATCCTGCTCTTCCTTATCCAGGATGCGAAGGAAGTTGTGTAGCTCTGGGATGGAGAATGCATCCCACTGGAGAAGGAGGGAACAGAGTATAGATCAGCAGCCTGCACAGTATTCTTACAAATGACACAACTGTCTAGAGGGCAAAGGGCTTTCTAATCATTCTTTGATATTGTCTATTTCAGCTTACAATTAGATATAGCTAACATTGCATTTTGAATGTTTGTAGTGGTCTGGCACGAGGACTTCCCACGTGTTTTCAGACATAATCACTGACTATAGCATTTATATGAGCCCTCACTGAGGCTACTACGCTACCTTAGTGACTAAAGCTTCAACTCTCAAAGACAACATACTGCAACAGTATTTGCACAGACAAATCCAATTACATAGTGTGTTCCATAATTTGTCTTAAGGGATAAACCAATATGGGAATTGTAGGGCAATGCCAATATCTGATATTTTTCATGTACGCATCTGCCAATGCCTACACTGACACAAACACGTGAACATTTATAAAATGTAGAAACTGGGACTACATCTACCTGGATAGCATTACAGAGACAATAACATTTACTTCCATAGGATTACAAATTACAATTAATACAACGAATAAGCAACACCTGAACATCATCAAACATTCATCTGAATTATCAAATGCCACTTTTCCACTTTTTTAAGCAATTATCTTAATATTTTAAGCAAATATCATTATGTTTACAATATTGTCAAGCATCTCTAATCATTTCTATTTAACATATTTGTTTTCACTGAATATTTGTTAATTCTGATAAACTGCCTATGTATAAAATATGTACTTAACCTAGTGAACCACTGGTCATCATCATCATGAGAAGTAGTCATGTAACCAAGTCATTACAACATACATTTCCACAGCACAATTTTGACATCTCACCATGACTTCCCCAGTCTGCTGCTCTCTCAGTACGAAGCTGAGTGTGTCTGTGTTGGGCCCTGCCAGCAGACGCAGTAGCAGAGGGTGCTCTCCTTCTGCCAGCTTACAGATACAGACTGCAATGGACACAAACAAACACACATTAAATGTAATCAAACCTGAAATACTAAGAGCACATTCACACTACTACACTGATAAGGAACGCTGGTGGTATATGACTCATTTAGTCAACAAAGCAGTTACGAAATACTGAAAGAAAACTTGTTGAAACAGTCAGTGTGCCCGTAGAGGTTAAAACACACAACCAGCCTCTGTAACACATAATGTGGGAATATGCTTCTATTCTATTGACACTATTACATCAAACTTCATTAGAAACTCTATCAGACACTTGCGTAACATCTGACTCATGATATGTTCCAATGACTCCAAGTAATTTTGTAAAAAAATAAGCACTGGCTCACTTGATTCAATAAATCTGGATTAGTTAAGAAACTAAGGTGTGCCAGCAGCTGGTTATACAATATCCAGGGCAGCAGTGAAACAGTTTATGAAAGACCAAACAAAATGCCATTAAAGCCCTTGAGAATTATCCAGAAACTTAAGAGCCACAACATATAGTTAAAAAATGATCAAGTATCACATCAAATGCTATCAATCCTCACTGGGATCATCACTGAGCTTATCCAAAGTGCTATTTTAAAAGCTGTGACCAGGCCCTGCGTTCTCCTCTTGCAGTAAACCCCTTAATCTCTAGGCTTATTATTCTATTATTTAATACAATTATGCCCAGTGCTTATTATTTCTTAGGTACTATGAAACTATTATGCAAAGTAAGGGTGTAATGATTTCACTATCAAAAAACTGCATGTTCAAAACATATCACAGTGTAAAACTAACACTACTACTGACTCATTTCTTTCATGGAAACCACTGTTAATGTGTCAAAACTAAGCATCTAAGTTCATCCTATCAGAGTATAGTGGGAGGGGCAGGTGGAGGGCTTATGCAATGCATGCCTTTTTCTGAAGCTGCTTACGGCATGGCAGGCATTATAAAAGTTCTGTTTGAGGACTTTTATTCAACCAATCTGTGCAGTACATAATTACAGGCCTTAAGACATTTTCATACATAAAATATCAAAAATCAAATCTTGGTTTGACCTTGTATTGGAAAATCATATCAAAATGGAAAATGTGTATTGTGACAACCTTAAAGTAAGGAATGTAGCTGCCAGAAGTGCTTAAAAAGGTTTAAAGGAATACTCCAGTGTTTTTAACCTCATCTGCAGCACTTAGTTACCAATGACAATAATTGATACATTTCCCTGTACCTAGAAAACAATAGAAATCCTTTTGATTTAAAACATAACAGAAACCAAAAGGCAGCTGCTTCAGCCCAGAGATTATGTTGGAAAAACGCTGAAGTATTCCAATCAGAGGTCAAAGGCACAAGGGGTAGCTGTTGTGTCTCCAGCACCATGTTTTGGATGTGTTATGATTTTCATGTTGCCCTGCTCCTGTGATGTGGGAACATGAGCATTCCTCTTTTCTCTATAATGAGCTCTGCAGCAGGACTTTATCAGCATTTAACAGTCATCGCTCTCCACAAAGCTGCTCAGGAGGTCTAGACGGGCCATTTAATTAGGAAAGCTCAGAGCCCCCCACACCACATTTAACAAGGGGTGGAGCACACACACTCGCTTGGGGGATTACAGGCATGTTACCCATATACTATAACCCACATTCTCTGTGCTTGGACTGAAGCACAGTGGGGATTTCACCCAGCAGTGAGACGTGGCGCTCTGTCTCTTTCCCGTCTCAGGAAAACCGTCCAAAACATCCAGACAGCAGCGTCAGCACATTCTCCCTCTCTGGCAACACCTCGTAAGATCAAGTTCCCCCTTCACTCAGTTCAGTTTACCTCCAGAACATAATCTCTCCCCATGCTCTGACGCACTAAGACAAACCATTCATCTGCTCTGAGTAGCACCGACGCTAGACTTCCACATCCGGCTGTACTCAGCAAGAGCAGAAGACAGAGAATCAGCTCTGCATGAGCGTCAAGAGATCCGAGTACATCTCAGAGCACTGATGATAAACTAAACCAAACTATTTCTTTGAATCTACTCAGAGCAACACTGTAGTAGCACTGCAGGACTCTGCTATGTCCAAGTAGCCTCAGTGCATTCCAGCTCCATACTGAAAAGGCAGGTACTTAATTGCTGGGCCATATGTGCAGTCTGGCATCCTGCTGAGTCTATGACGTAAAAGGGGCTTCCAGCAGCCAAAGATCTGAGCAATGTGTGAGGAAAGATGGCTGGAATGGCCCCTGGTGGAGGGGGAGAGACTTCCAATGCAGATCTCCACTGGATCAGGAAAAACCCCAACCTACACTGCAGTTGTGCGGGTGAAGTATGAAGAGCTGAGACTGTTAAACCAGGCCAGGCAGTGTGTGGTATGTGTGTGTGCATGGAGATCCCTGTGTGGTGATGTGTTTGTGGGGAAAGAGGTTAACTGGCACTGGCCACTGTACCAGCTGTCAACAGGCTGGTGTGGAAAACAGCTGGTCTGCCTGAGTGTATGTCTGTAAGTGTGTTAATCTGAGTGCACTGGAACGGGATATTTTTTGCTCAGGAGGTAGAAATGGTAAATAGTTGTAGTAGCAGGACTTTCTAGAGGCAGTGGGAGCCTAGAGGGCAGCAAGTCCATAAATACTCACCCTTCAAACACACACATGCTCACTGAACTAATCTTGCAGCATCATGCCTGTCATTCTGGCACCCACATACACTGTAGCACATGGCCCTACACCAACTGGCTACAGTGCATACTAAGGATGTGCACAAGTACTGGTCAATCATTCAAGATTACAGTATTTAAATATTAAAATCGCTACTCAGGAATTTGTTGCTGCGGGGAAGACCAACAACTCAGTAAAGCACCAGTTGTTTCTTTTAATAGAACTGTAAAACTCAAATCTATGAGTAAATATATTATGTTAAACTTTGTTACTCCGAAATCTGAGTACCCAAATGTGAACATGTTTAGGACATGGCTGAGAAAGCAGAGATGGCACAGTTTTTATCACTAAACAGGCTCAACCGTTGTTCACCAGTTAGCTACAGTTTTAGCTCATTAGCTCATCTGAGCAGTCTCTGCTATGTTACTCACCTACGGATTTCCCTCCAATTTCCTTCAGTTTTTTTTTGAAAAATAAAACATGTTTTGAAATATATTCCTCTGCATGATGCTACATTTTTGTGCCACACCAGTGCTGTCACCTAAAAAGGTAAACTACAGCTCTAAATTTCACTCCAAGTTTTTTCTTTTTTGGCATAGTTTTTCCCTTCTCAGAGGTTAAGCGGATATGCGTTCACTAACTTGCGGATACTCGATTATCAAAATCAGTCAGAATGCACATCACTAATACATACTAAGATGTTATTCGGCAAAAAGGAACAGTCATCAACAGCATGAATTCTAGAATAAAGTAATTAAAGCAGAAATGTTCTATAATTATCATATGATACACTCTGTTGGTGTGAACATGGTTTCTAGAATCCATTTTTTTTATTTAAATTGGCCTACATTCATATCACCAATTCAAACATATATCTATATCTAAAGTATATCTGCACTCAACAAAAGCCAACTTGTTTTTGAATGAAATTTTTTTTCAGTCTGTTAATACAAGTGTTATAGGTGCTATCAGGTAGCCTGGACTGAAAGTTTGAAGGACACAGCAACAATAACTAACTACACAAATAAATAATACCACACACACACACACACACACACACACACACACACACTAGTTTGACTCACCGTGGTCATCGCGGCGGAAGCGTTTGTAGAGGGCAAACTTAGCCGGGTTGTCTGCCACAGTGAACTTGCGCAGCAAAGCCTCAATCACCTGCCGCACAGTGTTGGAGCTGCTGACGTGCAGTGTGTTGACACAGCCAGACGGCAAATAGAAAGCTTCCTGCCCTTTCACTCCTCCACCTGTCACGGTGATGGGCCGCCGCAGCTCCAACTGCACCTTTATAAAGCCCGTGTAGAGGCCATCAGTATTCTGATGACAGACAGAGACAGAGAGAGAGAGAGAGAGAGAGAGAGAGATTTTAGGGTCAGCTTTAGGGCTGCACGATATGGACAAAATGCCATATTACACTTTTTTTGCTATATATTGTGACTGAAACGTGCTTTAATATATGAAAGCACACTGATGCAACAAGGTTAAAGATCAGCCTGCATTATTTTGACCAAAAGTCTTTACCATTGTTGGATCTGAACTTTGAGTTCTGAAACTCCCACAGTACCTTCTCAAACCTCTCACATTGTTCAGGATGCTCCCAGCAGACAATTCTATTTTTCATGATTTATTAAAAGGCTAATTTTCATACTGTGGCCTTCGGCAATATCAGTACTGCAAAGCCAATATTGCAACAATAATAAACAATATATCAAGCAGTCATATGCACTGCATAATATCATATCAGAAAACATGAAGAATTACAATAAGAACAAACAGAACAAAAGCTATACTTTTTTATGTGGATTTCTGATATGAAACGGTCATATTGCCAAAGGCCCACCGCTAGAGCTTCTGCGTTTCTCAACACAAAAGGTGTACTATCCTGGACTCTATTCAAACATAATAGGATGAGTGATAGGATAAGTGAAAGAGCAAAAGAGTGGGATTTGCCAGAGCAGGGCCGTGTGCCCAGATGGACCTCAGATCGAAGGCAACACAATCTCTCTAAGCTCGTTAGCCCAAATGTCAGGGCCGAGTGTAGAGTAGGCCAAAGGCAAGACACCAACGGTGTAATTATAGGTCAGGAAGCGAGCCTGAAACGCAATGCTACACATACTAGTTTACTGAAACATAAGAATGCCACTGTAATACTGGCTTTGAGCTTAATGAGCCAAAACACAGAGGCCTAACACCATCTTCCACCCATACATTCATAGAATATGCTCCAACAGCAATGTATATATGCCATATATATATATATATATATATATATATGGAATTGCGCATTACCATCATACAAACTTCCAACTCATTAAATCACTGCTTAATATTTTTGATCAATTCATTATGTGTAATCGACTAACTGTGACAGAAGCAGTATGCAAATTATATCTGTGTGCTGGAACACACGCTTGCAGACACAAGTCATTTGCAATGCAGTAAGATGAAGATGTGCTCTTATTGAGACAAGTGGAAACACATGACTGCCTTGGGCTAAAAGAAACAACCAAACAAAAGGCTGTTTGATAGAGACATCTACATCTAGAAAAGAGCAGAGGTAGAAGCTCGAAACAAACTCAGAAATTTGAGTTGATTTTATCATTTATAAATTTAATTCTTTAATATGCACACTCTGCATCTCATAGCAGACACTACATTCAGAGCAGCACATTCCTCTCTGGCCTATTCATAGTTCACTGTGTCACAGAGCCTGTGCCATGATAACAGCCCTCATCTACACGTGAAACAGGCAACCCAAACAAAAGCAGCTTGTCTGACATCATAGGCCTTATCATCATGACACAAAGGGTTAAGGTTGAATGGAGAACAAAATCTGGCAGCATGAGTAATGTCTCTCTGAGAAGGGAGACAGAGACTCCGCCACAAACAAGGCTGGCTGCACAGCTAGTGTGGTTCAGCTATAAGAGAATTTCTCCATTACATAAATGCCAATGTACAGCATAAAAAGAGCTCCCTAAGTGGGCACTGAACATATTCACCCCACACAATCACACAGCCTATACTCCATATGGGATTAAGAGGTGGCGGATTTAAATGAAGATACGGCCACTACTCAGCGTCAGCTTGCCTTGGTACTCAGCAACGTCTAGCACTGCTTTTTCCTTTTAGTGGCAGACCATGCCACTCAGCAGTTTGCTATTTGTGCATTAAATCAAATCCAGAACCAGACATAAAAGGCCATAGTAGGTAACTATGTGGATGTGGTTAGGATGTGGCTTAAAATTTACACCAAGAAAGGCAGCCAGTCTAAAATCGTTAAGGTCAACAGACAAATTCTAATTGTATGTTACCTCAACTAATGTTACTAGCCTGGTTATGCCAGTACTTATTTCCTCTTTTACCCTTTAGTGCCAAAACCACGTCATTAGGAAGAAGTGCTTATCTCTTACTAAATGCAATACATTCAACAAATTACTCTGAAAGTTTTCTTCTATTAAGTCTATATGCGTAGAATGTGAAATGAGCTTGAGCCTGATGTTTGTGTTTTGTAAGCACTCGTTTACCACTGACAGCATCCACAAAATGCTCAGAAAAGCTAAAGGTGACATGATTCATTGTGCTCATACATTGTCATATTGCATGCTCCTAGATGTATGTTAACATGGCTAAGTCTGTGTGAGTGTTCAGGAGAGTTCAGCAAACATAATACAGAGGCAGTCAGCCTTAATAGGGCTTCCTAAGTGTGCTTTCAAATTTTACTTTGTGGCAAAAGTACTAATAATGAATAAAAGTCAATCAGTAAACTGAGACTGAGGTGAACATTCACAGATAAACTGCAAATGAAGGAGGAGTAAGGAGGAGGAGGTCTCACCAGTGTCATTTTGAGGTGGTCTCTTGTGGCAGCGTTGTAGAGATTAATCTTGTGCCTGATCTCTTCAAGACTGAGATGAGTACGCAGTTCTTTCTCCTTCTCCACATCCTGAACAGCAGAGAGAAAAAGAGAAAGTGAGCATAGAAAAAATAAACACACACGAATGGATAAGCTAACCCTGAGGAAAATTTTGACAGTGTGCCGGAGGGCTGAATATCAATTAAGGACAGCTGCAGAATAAACCCAGTGCATGCATAAGAAAGCCTACAGCCAGCATCCAAAACGCCCTCACAGACAACCACACTGCAGCCTACATCCATGTGCTGTGCATGTAGCTTGACTTCAAGGGGAGCTTACCTAAGGGGCATGTTCTAAGTATTTTCTATGAAAATCATGGAATCCAAAAGAGTCCTACTAGATGGAAAAGAGGTCATTATAAAATATTTTGATCATTCTATTCCACCGACCATGATGGACATCCTCAGAAAAGCCTGACTATCAGATGACCTACTGACTACAGCAGGTGATGATATGGGAGAACACTGGTTTCTCTCATGCATTAGTGTACAGGACAGCATCTGTGTCTACCAGGCCATATAAATGTTTGAAATACTACACATCACAGGACAATCAGAAAAGGAAATAATTTCTAAGGGGCAATTATTTAGCCCTCGTTGACTGAAATTCAGGGGTATTTTATACACAAATGCAGCAATTTGCAAAATATTAACTTAGGAAAAAAAAATAACCATCAGCAAGAAAAATTAAGCGGTGTAAAGATTCAATTCCTAGTCTGTTTTTAGTGGAAAAAATACAGTATTTGTGGTAGTGAATGCTTTTAGGCAAAAATATCACGATAGTAGTGCAACATTTTAATACTGCTATCAAAAACTTTGTGTTTCACACACTGCACTTCACAAAATCAAATTATACTGGATTATGCTCACTATGTAATAAAACATACAGTTTGTCAGACTTCTGAGCATGGACGATATTCACAATATGCTCAGAAAAGGGTAATGTTTATCATGATAATGATAAAATATCATCATATTGCTCACCTCTAACTGAGACACTGTCATTTGCAGCAGCTTTTTCTATAATATAGTAATCTATTTTACCTGAGCACATTTAAGCTGTTAGTTAAGATCAGCAGGCAACACAGTAAGCAAAGTGCCTGCTGTTTTAATAGGGTGATAGTGGAGTACATTCATAGTGATTTATTACATTTATACCAAGTTATTTTGGGGCATTTTTATATCGAACTTGAGTGTTAAGGGCCAGACTTGTTGAATATAAAGGAATTTTTTATATTTACATATTTCTGACACTAGAGACAATAATGATCTAAAACAGATTGACATGAATATAATTATGACTATTGTAGGCCTTTGTTTAAACATGATGCAACAAGCAGGCTATTGCACAGCTGCTCATATACACTATTAATCAAACTAAACATTAGGCTAAAACATTAGGAAAAGGTCCTAACCACATCTGGCCTTTTACTGTTCTAGCTCTTACTGTCAGCAGCCTTAAGTGCACTCTGGTCTTACATGGTCATAAGACGGCAGAGAGAAGAAGCCAGTCTGCTTTCACGAGCACTCCTGCTCAAAACAAAGCTCTAAAGCCTGCAGCAGGGCCGAGCAGGGGCACCCCTTATAAGGCAAGGCTCCACTCTCAGGACGAAATGCCAACACATCGACAGAGAAGGACCGTCCTGGAGTATAAAGCGCAGGCTAAATACCACACCAGTCTTAGAGGGGAGTTCTGTTTCAAACACGATGTAATCCCCCTTCTGCAAAGGCCAAAAGCCCCTCCGAGTAGCAGAGGTTTGGCAAAAACAACAGGTGGTTTCGGCTTTTTGAATGCCGTTATAGAGAGTTACAGTTCATAACTGAGAGTTGAAAGGTAATCCCCTTTGTGGTCTAAGCACATCTGCTGAGTCTCATCCATAAATAAACTGCTAAAGCTGTGAAGATTAAAATGCTGTAAGTGCAGTTAGTATGTAACACTGGAGTGCACAACAGGATCAGGTCTGGTGCAGGCTCACTGCTTCCCAGCCTGGGAAGGATTTGGCAGTTTGCTGGGAAAGGCTCAGTCTGACCTCACCTGCTAACTAGGTGATTCACAGGAGGATTAGCCCAGCAACAGGTGCTGTTCTGGTGCAACATAAAGGTGTTACAAGAACAAGTGTATTTTTGGCAACAGAGAGGGATAACGGTCTCTACCTCTTAAGGCTAAATTCTCAATCATTCACTTAACAGGCAATAAGTCAGTGTGTCTATATATGGCTCAAACACAGGTATTACATCAAACAAAGCTAGTTATACTACCATTCAAAAGTTTGGATACAATATTTTCTTCGTATACTTCGTAAGCAGGTATGCATCCATATGGAAATTATAGGCAGATGCCAATCTCCAATATTTTTCATGTACATATCTGCTCATGCCGATATATAAAAATTTATAAAATCTAGAAATTACAACTATATCTTCCTGGAACAGCATTACAGACAAGCAATACTGATTTCTTTAAGATTACAAATGCAATATAAGGAATAAAATGCAGATTTTTAGCACAGGAACCCAATGTCATCTAAGCATTCTGTTTTCTTAGAATATAAAACGTCATCAAAAGTCGATTTGAAATATCAGCCAAATCTAATCTCTCTCCAACACCTGTATTTCTTTTCAAGCAATTATCTGCCAATACCGGTATTTAAATCTAAAGTAAATATTAAAGTATTCAAATCTATAAGAGTTTCCTTCCAAGCTTTTGAACAGCAACGTATATCCCTGCTGATGTACCAATTCCACACCAATTTGCAAGGTCAGCACATTAAGGACCACGCAAATGTAACCCAACTTTAATGAGTTATACCACCAACTTCAACAGTGTCCCAACAAGCAATGAAAAACAAGTGCAAAAAGACACATCTGAACCACAAGCTTTCGTAATGAAGAGACTACCCCACCACACAAGCTCGCCAGGCCCAATTAACTACACCACACACTTTCTGCTGAGGTCAAAACTACAAACAAAATGCCCACTAAACCCTTGTCTGCCCTTCACCAACTTCAACAAAAGATGTTAAGAGCTATGTAAACAAGAGACCTAGGCCCCTTTCAGTGGGAAGTGAGCCCTTGTATAGGACTGTGGGTCACACCATTAGCGTACGTGCTGTGTAGAATTTCACAAGCAACACAGAGTGCCATTATGTTGATTTGGTGGGCTTTATGATGTGGGCACCACCTACTCTCTGAGGGCTGCTCAATGCTTGGGCTACATTGTAAACAGCGCTCGTGTAAACTGTGTTTGGTGGCTGCATGGATAACCGTGAGACACAGTGTCGCCGTCTACGACAAACTTATAGGACCTCCAAGATGGCGCCATTACTTGTGTACTTTACTCAATCCATGAAAGCGTTAATGTGACCACACCCTGCAACCCTGATAAGACATGTTTTTCAAACAGCATGCACTGCTTTGAAGGGAAATGACAGCTAACTCCTAGGAGTGTAGAAACGCATTATGTCTGTGCTCATTTCTTGCTCAAAATCTTGGTGTATTGTTTTTTGTTTCTTTTGTCTGTACTGCACTACTGTGTAAGCAGTTCCTCCAGTCACATTTGTGTACTCAGTGTATTCTAAAAATTGATTCTGAATCGTATAAAAGTAATCGAATCAAGGTAAAAACTGAGAGATGTTCAGAGAACATTTGGTAATGAATTGTAATTAAGACAAGTCGGAGATCTACACCCGCGATAACTGCTCAACTAATGCCAATTCAAAGGACTTTTTCAACAATTTGAGTTTTGACAAGCATACTGAGTAGAAAGAGTGAGAAATATGATTTGGAAATGAGAGGGTTAAGATGGACGGCACTGCTTGGCCGAGCGTGACAAAGGCAAAACAAACACATTCCCGATGAGGTAATGGCACAGAAAAAGCAGCTCAGTCTCCCACACTGTTAGGGACTGTATCCTCCCTCTCCTACACACCAAGTACAGGCTGAGAGAGAAGGGTGGAAAAGCTGCAGAACTAAAGGAACGAGTATCTTTAAGCTCCATCTGTCAACCCTAAAACTCCCTGTTTACCCCCAACAAGGCTAATTACTTTAAGAAGGATCAAAACATTAGACGTGACCTGCTGTCAGCTACAATCACAAAAGAGGCCCTGATGTGTCCTTGGTGGGCTGAAAGTGAACAAGGCCAACATGTTGCAATAGAGGAGCTGCTTTTGTGAATCGCTACACAGTCGAACAAGAATGTCACACTGTTGGCCATGTACTTCCTTCTGTCTGAGGTCTGACTTCAGCGGAACAGGATCCATAACATGTGGTCAGACAGGTTTTTTGGGACGTGCCCATTTTACTCCCAATGACAAAAGCACCTGATGTCATCTCTCTAACTAGCAAAAGGCTCAGAAAAGAATGTGTGTTGGCAAATAAAAAGGCAGAGGCAGACAAAACAGTCAGAATGTAATCTACTTTTGTATTTTTGGGGGTGGTTTAGACTGAAAATGGTCCTAAACGGTTCTCGTCTTAGATTTACATTTAGTTGACACTGAACTAGAGCTGGGCAATATGGCGATTTCTGTAGTTATTATGACAAATTACATCACAAAATGCTTTTCTGAGGATACTGTTTCATTACAACGAGAGCATTATTAGTCCTGTTTATTGGGTTTAGTACAGTGTCGTTTGTGAAATGTTAAATAAAAATTATTGTAATCATATTTTTCAACAGTATTTCTTAAATGTGGCACTATTGGTTCCCTTTTTGTCTTTTCCAACTTACCAGAATACCATGCAATATCATGTATCAATAGTTCCTGGAGGTATTGTGATACATTTTTCCATATCAGTGCTATATTCCACCTCTACATACATTATGTGCAGATTCTTTAAACCCTAAAAAGGTTCTTCTCACACACACAGCTCATTTACAAGTTCTTTGAAATAATACTCAAATGAAAAGATCTTTCAAGAACCAAAAGAGATTCTTCACTCCAGTGGAGTCTTTTTGGCACCTTTATTTTAAGTGTAGGTGCTCCCATCCAAGGAAACCTGATGTGAACACCCCACTTTCATGCAGCAAAGTGG